TTTTACTAGTCGAACTTTTCCCCTCAGTATCCTGTTAACACTCTCCATATTTACAGATTTTCAATCATCAAGTTTTCCGATCAAATGCCAGAAAATCATGAGAGATAATTGAATTAGTGCCACCTCACAATTATTCACTTCCCCATTCTCATCAAAAACCCCATTTTTCGCTTCATAATTTCTGAGAGCCTTTTCCACCTGAAGTACCGATTTTTAATTAACTTCGTGAAAAACTATTGGAGCGTAACAGATTGTTAGCCACCTCTGAAGCTGAAAATATTCAAGTCTATCCAATAATGTGTGCATCAGCGGTGAATCCCCAATGCCTGAAATTTTCCCAATAAAATGCAGAATTTCCAGTCACTCTTTTCCCTTTCATTTCACGACACCTATTCTTTATTGGGAAATAATTCAATGAAGGCTGAGGGGGGGGGGGAACAAACGGAAATGTCACACCGCGAGCCAACAAAGAAGGGAAATGGTGAGTTTAATCGGTGTGAGAGAGACAGAGGAAACAAAACGCACACGGTGGAGCGGGTTTTTGCTGCCACGAGAGACATTGCTGAATCCAGTGGTTTTATTTGAACTAGGAGTGAGTGTGAGGATAACTCAGTGTCGCGTGGGAGTCATACCGCATGCCAGTCGTTTCCTTTTTTACGTACTTTGAATTTTATCATTCGAGGGATTGGAAAAGCGGTGAATTTATTGGATTTAGAAAGATTCATTTTTCTGGACATAAATTGCTGTATTTGATCGTAATATACATGCAAAACCCAATTCCTCTGGATTTCAGGGATGGCCATCAATATTATATTTCTTCGATATTAAAATAATTCGTGACGTACATTGATAAATGTTCAAATGAAAATAAAAATTAAAGAATAATATAATATTAATAGTTTAAATTTCCGATTGATGATGAATTAAATATTTGATAATATAGAACTGTAAATTTTCCATAAAGTGAATATTTCTAATTTGTTAAAGGGATTGGCGATTAACCAAATAATCGGCAGTCCTACTTGAATTATTAATTAATGAAATAGTTCCAAATTTGAATATTTAAATAGCTGATTGCTTGAATAATCAAAAGTTTAAGAGTGATGGTAACTAACTGCGGAGTCTGGGGGAGAGATGGGACAATATGACTTTTTGGGAACGATAGTTGTAAGATGAAAATAGGAAGAGATTGTTTTATTGGAAAGGAATGTGAAGATTACATTGGGTCGATGCATGTGATTTTTTTACTTAATAAAATAATGAAATGCGAATACTTGACGAAAAATGCTAGACCTATTTTTTTTTATTGAGAAAAATGATTAAAAATAGAGATATCAGAACCAACTGAAGAAAAAAACGTCATAAGACAGATGTTTTTACTCAAAATTAAGAAAAAATGTCCTTGTTTTTTCATTTAATTGTTCTACCTGAGCAAAGTAAATTGCTTTAATGCTTAATATATAATATTACTACTTTTTCTCTCATAAATTGGATTATAGTCGCAATCGAAAACAATTAATGTATTACTCATTTTGCCTTTAGGGGATCTTCGTATGCCAGAGTATAATAAATCTTGTTAAAGGATAGAATTCATTTGAAATTATTCTCCGTTAAAGAATATTAATTTTCGATTCAAGAATTTATACTCTGACTTAATGCCATCAAATCAATAACAACCCATGAGACCAAAATTTGAAAGATCAAATTCAAAACAAATTCCAAGCTTTGACAAAGAAAAAATCTATAAAATCCTTAGTACACTCACTTCTATCTTCCACTTTATCAATTTTCGTTTGAAGCCTTTGGAAATTTATCACTCGCATAGAAAAAGTATAAATCCACTTGTCTATCTCTCACGCAATTAGTAAAATGAAAGTGTCGATTTTTTTCATTCAATACAATAAATCCTGTTAAAGGGTAGAATTCATTTGAAATTATCGGTCATCCTGTACTATTCTCTGTTAAAGAATATTAATTTTCGATTCAAGAATTTATACTCTGAATTAATGCCATTAAATCAACAGCAGAAGAATGCTACATTCAACGCCGGGGATGATTCTTTCAAGATTCCCTTCACCAATTTTCGCAAGTACTTCAAAAAAGAACCGTTAGAACGCACCTCAAGAGTCATAAAAGAACTAGCTGAAGGTAATCCCCCTAAGAGAGCACCATTTTTCAAATGGTTTTATGAAAATAGAAGAAAACCTTGGTTCAGCAAAAGAAAGTTCTCGCGAAAAACTACCGCCTGGATTGGCAGAGCCAGGGCCGATCATTACCATCTAGCTCAGTCCCTAGGTCGAGTAGGAATTACGAGCTCCCAAGAATGCGCGTGTGGTACTTCGCAAAAAAACCTGAATCATGTACTTTGGCAATGGCCATTTTATCTGTCCAACAGGGAAATTATGACGAGACGCCTGAGATCCTGTGGTTCATTCCCCCCGTAGCATATCAATATTTTTCTCTACGCTGAGAAAGAAACAAACACGGTTTCAAACAAGTCTTGTTTGGGCCAACAAAATCGCTAGTTGAAAATTGCCAAAAAAGAATTTGTTTGGTTGGAATTTGAAAGTTTCAAACATGAATAATTGTTCTGCTTTCGACAGCAACGAAATATTTGGCACAACAGGCGGATAATTCACACCAGACGAGGCCTTTTCAGGATGAAAATATCTCATACAAAGGAAAATTTATCAACAAATATTTTATCCATAAATTACGAGGTTGCTATCATATCTTCATTATTATTTCATTTAAGGGTTAATTTCTTGTCTGTGATTATTAGACAGCCGAAACGAAAAACTACTACCCCTTCCAGTGCTGGAGCGTGAATTTTTCCGCGTCTGCCAAAATAAATCCATTTTACCGTACCCGCACAGTTATCCTTCTGGTATTCTTTTCTTGTAACCATGCAATATTCCTCGAGGCGCAAAAAAAAAAATCCATCGAAAATTAACGTGGAAGTCCTTCAGCCATGGAACATAGTATGGAGGTAATATAAAAACAGAAAAAACAACTGGATATTCCGCTTCGAAAATTTCCAATGCGGTACACCAGCTTTGGCTACATTTTCCTGCATTTTTGTTTTCAATCTCTCGTTATTATTCCAACAGTTAACGTGCACAGAATTTTGTACACCTCGAAAAACGATTGAAATATTGCCTCGTATTTCAAATTCTATCTTCGAAAGAAAATTGCATAGCAAAATAAAAAAAAATATTGCGTTATACCAAAACTGAAATATTTTTTTAATAATGTATTATAAGATAATGTTATTTGTCTTCATGTCATGTGTTATCACATTTTAATCATTTTGGCAGTTCCTAGAATCTATCAAGAGTAAATTTTTAAGACGCAAATTAAGAAACTCACAATTTAAAAATGTTGATATCTCCGTTATAATAGTAAAATCGGATTAAAAATCCCTTGTCTGAGGTTTCGCGATGGTTAAAAAATAATAAAAATGCATAAATTGCAATAATATCTCAATATTTTACAGAAATGTCGGCAATTAAAAGAACAGGTACAATGGGAATGGCACAGGATTAGCCATATCCATAAATCAGAATTACCATTAAATTTTGAAGTAGTCAATCCGTTAATATCACACTTAAATATTTAATCATTTAAGTAATCAATTTAAATGCTCAAATTCCGAATAATTTTATTAATCAATAATTTACGTAGGAAGATTGACGATTATTTGGTTAATCGAAAATTCCTTTTTTGAAATTAGTATTATTCAATTAAGAGAAAATTTACAGTTCCATATCATCAGTGATTTAATTCTTCATCAATCGGAAATTTTGATTTCCATTATTTTACTATTTTTCAATTTCGATGAGTATATTGAAAGCTTTATCAATGTACTTCGCAAATTCTTTTAATATTGAAGAATTGTAATATTGATGGTCATCCCTGAAATGGCATTGATCCTGTGCTCGTTGTGCAACCAACTGTCAACTGGTAACGGTCTAAACGGATGAAAAAATCATTTAAAAGGTTGGACTGTCCAATTGAAATATAATTTTGTGCCTCGAGATATTTTTTAATGTTGTTTTATCTCAAATAGGATACTCACGATGTAATTAGTTCCTTTCCATATCATTCAAATCACGAGACGAAGATAGGGACATGTGTCAAACGTGCATGGGCCAAATGAGCGAGCGTAGGGACACGGGACTTTCTACGTTTATGGACGCTTATTCATCAATAGTACATTAGAGTACAAGGGCACAAATTTCGCCTTCGGCTCGGCCTGTAAACTTCACATTCGTCGAAAACGAAGTTTATGCCCGAGTGGTCTATACTATTTTATGCCACATCGTGCAATAAACTCGACTTATTGCACGGCGTGCCATAAAAAATAGTAATTATCATGATTAATATAAGTGAATTCCAATTCTGAAGCTTTTACTTCCTAAAATCAAATTTAAAACATCGCATGTTTACACTCATTTCAATAAAAACATTGGACTAATGATGTGTTCAGCGTCTAGGATCATTTACGTTAAGGCATCATAAGTTTCAAAGACACCTAGAACGTCTAGAACGGATCTCTTAATTTCTCGACTTGAGACGCTAAAAATGGCTGAAATTTACGGACACAAACGTGTTAAAAAGGGGGAGAACAGTGTCTTAATTTCAGACACTAGTTTCTCCTTCATGAAATAAAACGTTCCACCATTTTATGTACAAAGGACAAGACTTGGGGATTCTCATCGGGGTGTCTTGTTCCTTTTTTCGCGTAAATTCGTGACTTCCTAGTGGTTTTGCCTTGCAACAAAAGGGGCAGACCTTTCAAAAAAAGAGATTGCAATTAGCACAATCCCTTCGAAAAACATGTTACAACAATTGGCAACAGTCGTCAAGAAGCGAAAACCCAAACCTATCTATTTGAAACGCAATCCCCGACCTGAGAACGGAAGCGAGAGTACGCGATGAGCGTAGCAAGATTAAATAACTGAAAAATGCCAAAGTCTTCATAGATTCAGTAGCCTTACCTTGTAAACTTGACCGTATGTGCCATTTCCGACGACTTCGATGAGCTCGAAGATGCCCGCTGGATCCTGGAAGAATAGAAATAGAAAATTGAATACATTAAAATGGTAGAAAATGTCATACGTTGCACTGTAAGTCATCGGGGGGCATTCTCAAAGGCATTCCATAATATAAGTCGTTACATTGATGACGCACACGCGTCAGACAACTCACGACTCTTGCTCTCTATCCACGCTGCGTTCTATTCTGATTAGTAATGCATCGACTACATGGAGAAAAAAAATCTACAGAAATCTATCTCTAAAATGAGCGGCATTTCAGGATTTTTCAACATTAATCCAACAAAAAATGCAATAACTATTTTTAAATTACAATATTTTTGTTCCATTTTCCCCTAAACTGTTAGGTTCAACAAAATCGCTAGTTCAAAATTACCAAAAAATAAATTGTTTGATTTAAATTTGAAAGTCTCAGTCATGAGTGGTTGCTCTGCTTTCGACAATGAAATATTCCGCTCAACGCTGACAGAAAGAATTAGTTTTATCAAGAGAATTTTGCTTGAACCAACTATCATTTGGTTGTTGATTTTCCAATAAACATGATTTCATAGTGAATACCAGTTATCTCTTCTTGAGATTGATTTTGACATTTGATTGGGAGAAATCGAACGTCTCTAGAATTGAAGTTCCGTTTATTTGTAGCAATAATGAGAGTATTTGATTTCTTTCTAGCCGAAAAATTGCCAACTCCAGAAATTCGTTGGTTTACTTAAAAATTAAAATTATTATCATGACTAAATACGTTGTTATCTCAATCAACACGATCGTACGTTGTTCCAAGTAAATTATAATTGAAGTGAGCAATTCGTATGTCGAATCAGGATGCATATTGTTACGCGGAAAAAGCTTTGAGATTGTAGTAAGATGTCGTTGAGTTGAAACAAGTTTATATTTCTTGACTAAAAAAATCGCATTAGTTTACAATAACAGAATCACAGATTACGGAAATTCTACACAAACTTGGATATGACAAATTTCGTTCAATGTGATATACGGAAACCCAATTTAAACATCGGCTTCATTTGAGAAGACAACATTCAATTCATTCCTCAATGTAAGAATCTCCTAGGTACGAATTTTGGATCAATTCATGAAAGTTGAAAATTTTTCGAATGAAGATTATATCAGGTTACAAAATAGAACTTTTTCATTCTCGTGATGAACACATGTGACTTGACATCAGAAACTGTTTCATTTGATCCAAGTCAATGTATCTCGAGAAGAAATCGACTGAACGATTTTTCAGAAGTCTCAGAAAAAAATTAGCTGAGAAATGACTCAAATAAATTGATTTATTTAAGAATATCGAAGTAGTTTGGCTATTTTTCGTCCAGTGAAATGCTTTTCTGCTCTTATAGGGGAGGGCAAGGTAAAATGGACACTAGACTTTAAAAATATTTATGACTCAGAAACTGATTTATCAATTGAGCTCAGTTTACGCTCATCACAACGGAGAATTGTTCTTTGCATTGAAAAAAAAAAATTATTCCATTTCATCAACATTTCAACCCGTCATGGACATTTAAAAGAACGTCAAAAGTGCCCATTTTATTCCACCCCCTAGTCAAACATCAGAGCTTTCATTTGAGCCCCATTTGATTCCAATTTTCCGGACATTTCACAATGATTTTATTATTAAAATTTTGGAGCTCTGAATTTGAATCTCGATATTTAGCCTTTACAAAACATTTAAAAATCCGAAAAATATTAGAAAGTTTACTTTTGAAGGGACATTGATAAAATAATAAAAAAATTGCAATTTTCGAAAATTCCAAACATTTTCTATGAATAATTTATAAACAATCAATTGTCCACCATAAAAATCATTTATTCGAAATCGTAAAAAATTTCATAACAATTTCAGCTATTGATTTATAAACATCGAATGTTTAAACAAATAATAATTCCGTGGAAATTTTTTCCGTCAAATTTTTCTCACCCATTTAATTGACAAATTTGACGATTGATAATGTTGAATCTATACCGTGATCTGTACCAAACTGTAAAATATACTTGGATAGGGGAGGGTGGGGTAAAATCGACACTTTAGACTTTTTAAAAATTATTCATAACTCAAAAACAAATTTATCAATTGAGCTCAGTTTATGCTCGTCACAAAGGGAAATAATTGTACTTTGTATTAAAAAAATATTGTCAAATTTGATCAACATTTCAACCCCTCATTAACATTTTAAAAAAGTCAAAAGAGTCAGTTTTACCCCAACCTCCCCTATCCTTAACCCTCTCTAAACCATCGGAGTAAAATAGGGGTGGGTGGGGTAAAACGGACACTTTCGACTTTTTTAAAATTATTCATAACTCAGAAACAAATTGATTAATTGAGCTTAGTTTAGGCTCGTCACAAACGGGAAGAATTGTTCGTTACATTGAAAAAAAAATTATTGAATTTTATCAACATTTCAACCCCTCATTAACATTTTAGAAAAAGTCAAGTGTCCGTTTTACCCCAACCTCCCCTACTTTTCACCGCATTTCCCTGGACCGAAAACCTAAAAATTCCCCTCCTCCCTGTCTTTATTATTCTACCTGCTTCCTGTCATCTCAAAAATCCCCCAGTCCAAACATTAAAATCCACGTGACGAGAAATAATCAAAAACCAAACTGATAACAAGAGCTCGAATCTCCGGAGTAATCTGTCTTGTCACTCGTGTCCAAAAACGCCGGAGCGCTATCTAAATCCTCCGGACACACCCGCCCCCTCCCCCAAAACCGTATCAACCCCGAAAACGACCCCCCAATTTCCCCGGAAAGGCCCTTTCCCGAATTCCGCAAAAATAAACCTAAAAAATTCCCAAAACCCAGTAATGTCGCGTCGAGATGTCGTGAGCCCTCGGAGCGGAACTTGCCCGCTCCAAAATTCCGAGAACCCCCCGAGAGACCGGCAAAAAAATCCCGGAAAACTGAGCGAAAAACCCTCCCCCAAGTGAAAACAATCCGCAACATAAATTTAAATACCTTGAGTGCGTTCAAGTCGATGTCATCCAGAGAGCAGTTAACACTCGGTGCCAAATTATGCGCCATCTTGATACGCCACTAGTGCTCCCTCTGTCTATCCCACGTACTCCCAATATCTCCCTCTCTCAACCGTTAAACGTGCCCCCACCCCCCAGTTATCGCTCCGTTTGGAAGCCACCACCCGCACAGAAACACCGTAAACCGAATAAAACTCCCGAAAAACAAAAAAAAAATAAAACGCGAACAGAGGAAGATGACACGATAACTCTCACTGAAACTGAACACGCCACACCCGAGGTAGGGCCACTTCCTCGATGGCAGATTAAAAAAATAAAGAAATTGGAAGATTGTACGTCGGTAATATCGCAACACAGACAGCACGTACACGACACGCCTATGTGTGTCCCCCAGGGTTCCTTGTCCCTTTTAATCCTCCACTGGTGTCAAGAATCTCCGACTCCCCCTTGCACCACTCGTCAACTCAAACTCAAAACGATGTTCCTATCCTATCACTTCACTCGCCGGCTCATACTTGTTCATTATTCCAGGTTTTGGTGGTAGGAATAAAAATTGTTATTGGGAGTTGGGTATCCGCGTCAAGTCACACCCGTAGCGACACATGGCAATCGTTTGGACGTGACGTTTTTTTATTCACGCGAAAAACTGCACTCTCTCGCGAGGAATCGTCGGCGTTGCGAGTGTTGGACGCACGGGAGGGCCTGTCCTGGTCTCACTGGGAGGTTTGAGATGGTTGAGACGAGGAGGCCTTGAAACCACGTCTTCGGGTGATGGTGGGCACTTGGGTACTTGTCTATCCCCCCCTGGGTGAGAGGGGTCACCAGTGGAGAATGCTGGGTTTCTTTGTTGGGGAGGGGATGGGGCTTAGGTGTGTTGAGTGCTGAGTTTTTCGGGGTGGGGACATCTGGCGGGGAGAGGCGGATGTGGGTGCGCAAGGGATCGCTATTCACGGCGCTCTTTTGCTTCCGAATGGAAGCAAAATGCATGAAGCATGATTTCATAAATGTCCCTGGAAGGTGGGATGAGCCGTAAGGAATGCTCTTTGCGTAATTTTATATGTAATTTCACATGTAATTTCATACGTAATTTCATAAATTGCATAAAACGCATAAATTTCATAAATGTCTCTAGAAGGTGGGATGAGTCGTAAGGAATGCTCTTTGCGTAATTTCATATGTAATTCCGTAAATTGCATAAAATGCGTAAATTTCATAAATGACCGGAGAAGGTGGGATGAGTCTTAAGGAATGCGCTTTGCGTAATTTCATATGTAATTTTATAAATTGCATAAAATGCATAAATTTCATAAATGTCCCTAGAAGGTGGGATGAGTCGTAAGGAATGCTTTTTGCGTAATTTCATATGTAATTTTATAAATTGCATAAAATGCATAAATTTCATAAATGTCACTAAAAGGTGGGATGAGTCGTAAGGAATGCTCTTTGCGTAATTTCATATGTAATTTCGTAAATTGCATAAAATGCCTAAATTTCATAAATGGCCGTAGAAGGTGGGATGAGTCGTAAGGAATGCTGTTTGCGTAATCTCATATGTAATTTCACATGTAATTTCATAAATTGCATAAAATGCATAAATTTCATAAATGTCATTAAAAGGTGGGATGAGTCGTAAGGAATGCTTTTTGCGTAATTTCATATGTAATTTCGTAAATTGCATAAAATGCCTAAATTTCATAAATGGCCGTAGAAGGTGGGATGAGTCGTAAGGAATGCTGTTTGCGTAATCTCATATGTAATTTCACATGTAATTTCATAAATTGCATAAAATGCATAAATTTCATAAATGTCCCTAGAAGGTGTGATGAGTCGTAAGGAATGCTCTTTGCGTAATTTCATATGTAATTTCATAAATTGCATAAAATGCGTAAATTTCATAAATGACCGTAGAAGGTGGGATGAGTCGTAAGGAATGCTCTTTGCGTAATCTCATATGTAATTTCATATGTAATTTCACATGTAATTTCATAAATTGCATAAAATGCATAAATTTCATAAATGTCCCTAGAAGGTGGGATGAGTCGTAAGAATGCTCTTTGCGTAATTTCATATGTAATTTCATAAATTGCATAAAATGCATAATTTTTTTTATTAAAAAAAAATTTTTTCTTGATTTTGACTGGTTTTGCGATTTTCTCAATTTGATTGCAAATTGTTTGGAATGTTGTAGAACGCGAAGGAATTATTTTTTTAGGGTCATGGCTGTAGTTATACGACAACTTGGGTATCTGGTGATTAATTTTGAGAAAATTCAACATAAATACGGTGAAATTTGTAGATAAAAATCTGACATTTTGGCTCATTGTAGCTATTATTGAGCTCAACTTTGGCGCGCTGTTTCGGCCCGATCGGAATCATGAATAGTCTCTCACAATTTAATTGCCCAATTGAAAAAAATTAATTAATTTGAAGACTGATAAATTTAAAAGTAGTAAGATTCCTCGTTGTGGTAAAATAAATTTCCCCAAAATTCTCACGAGATGCCAGCACCTAACAATTCACCTGAAAGCGTCGCAGGTGCGCAGGTAAATTTACCTGTGCAGTTGCCATGACGACTGATTGAAAACTATGAAATCAATCAATTGAATCCGACCAAAACACACCTCAGCATAATTTAGAATGTGTTAACACTGTTTTCTATATTTCTCCTCGTATTTGCGAAGAAGAAAAATATCATCAAAGACTGAATTTAATCACATTTCCAATCATGGACTGGGGAAACGAGATTGAGTCAACGACAAAAAAGGTAAACACAGAAACTTAATAACGAAATGTTCTCCACTGTTATTCATTGTTTTTATAATTTTTATTTAATCGTGAAAAACGATTTTCGGTGATAAGAATTATTTGCAGCAGCTGATACCAAGATTAGGGAGACGAGCGGGTCACAATGTTAACCAGGATGATGGAAGATTTGAAGATGAGATTTTAGATAGTCCCAGCACAGGAGTGTCCTCCGCAGCCTCTGGGAAGACCATTCAGATACCTGTAGCACCCCCCAGAACCCGAAAAACTGGATGGAGCGATGAGTTGAAAAGTGCTAAGTACTTGTTTCCTCAATGCAATCTATTCTGCGGGTCTATAGGGTCACATAAAAAAATTCAATAGAAATTTAAGACCGCATATTATGGCCGCACGGCCGACAAAACCTGCCCTTAAGGGGTAACAGAATGCCCTTAATTTTCCAAATTTTGGAACAAATTTCCTGCTGAAAGTTATCGATATTTTTAAAAATCGAAGCACATTAATCTCCAGGAGGTGATAGAATTAGGGTTTTTCACCTGCTTTTCCCTATATCATAATTATTCCCGCCCCAAATCCTTACGTTTTCACCAAACCTATACCCTTGAAGCTACAAATGAGTAAAAGCCCGAGGGCTGACACCGTGTAAAATAACCGTAAGTTAACAGTGTACACTCTGCTGCCTTGTTGTATCACTGACGTTAATAAAAATCTTTAAAAGTTAAAGTTAAAGTCCAGGAGGTGATGATGAAGATCAATGTACTTTGGGTTCAGAAAATATTAATAATTTTCAGCTGGAAATTTGTTTCGAAAGTTCGAGAAAACGATGGCCTTCTGTTACCCCTTAAATTGAAAATTCACGGTCGAAGAATTCTACATAATATTGATGCAATAAAAAAACTTAGCGAATACGTTAGAAAATTCTATTGGAATTCTCTAGAAATTCTGTGGGGATTCTATTAAAATTCTGGAGAATTCTCGTTAAAATTCTATTTGTTTTTTGCGCGGATTCTATGAGATATTTGATAGAAAAAAGTCAATAGATTTCGATTTTTCAGTTTGAATTTTTCTCTTGGGATTTTTTCTATTAAAACTATTAGCCACGGATTTACAGAGCTTTTCCGCTATATTTTATTTTGCTTTGCGTTGCAGAATTCGAGTGGGAAAAACGTAGAAAATTCATGCCCAAGTATTCTTATAGAAAAATCGAAATCTATTGACTTTTTCGTATCAAATATATCGTAGAATCAACGCAAAAAACAAATGGAATTTTAATGAGAATTCTCTAGAATTTTAATAGAATCCCAGTAGAATTTCTAGAGAATTCCAATAGACTTTTCTACCGAATGCGGTAAGTTTTTCTTTTGATTTTTTTCATACTTGGTGTTCTGCATGAAATTTTTTTCATTCCGGGATACGAAAATTGAATGAAAATGTGACGGACGTATTTTTTCATTTCGATGAATAATAAAGGCTTGAGAATATATGAGGTATTCCATGTCAAATGAGTCAATGGCTCACCCTCACCCTCTTGGACATTGATCTCGATTTTTTCTACGATTGAGGGACTGGAAAAATTATCTCTTAATTTTTTTCAGATTTTTTCAACATCACATTTCGAAGATATCATTTTTTCTTTGTTTTTTTCAATAACTCCAGTTCTAGTCGTCTAATTTTGATTTATGACACGTCAAAACTCTCGATTTCGTGCAATTCCTTGGAAATTCGCGCAATTCCTTTAAATTGCAAAGACCTACCACTTGTTAAAAACTTTCAAAAAGTTTGTCGGAAATAACAGCCAAAAATTTGATCAGTGTAGGCAATTGAAAACGTTTGCATTATGACGTCATAATGCGGGCATTTCCTTGAAGGGCCATAATTTCCAAGTTTTTCATGGTTTGTTAACACAAAAAAAACATATTTCGTTTTTCACTCAGTTTTCATTTATCATCATTTCATTAAATAAGTAAAATACATAAAGCCAACCAATTCATTATTTCCCTCGGAAAATTCTCAATGTCCTCTTCACTTTGTTTTCAGGGGGAGAACGACCCAAATTCTGGAGCAGTAAGCACTTTATCCTTCAACATTTGTTATTAATCGATAGCCAATGAATATTCATGCTCTTAAATACTTTTCAGGGGAAAATTTCGGAAATCGAACAGGGAAGAATCAATAGATGGTAATTGAATGAATATATATTAAGATTTCTTAGGAATAACTGAACCACAAGAAGTTGATAACGAGAGTTATAGTAAGATGTTTACATATTCAATAATAAAAGCTAAATTTTCCAGTATTTAAGAATTTGCAAGTACTTTAACTTTTTTTTTCTCCAGTGAAATGGTTTTCTGCTTTTGTAGTCAACCATCAGAGCTTTCATTTGAGCCAGAATTGACCCTAAGCTTCCGGATATTCTATAATGATTTTATAATTTAAACTTCACAGGTCTGAATTTGCACCAAATTTATTCATATTCTGAATTGTGTCCGAAATTAATTTCATGCCTAAAAAAATATGATTTCGGAAAGTTTCAACAATTTCAATTATTTATTTATGAACAATGAATGTTTAAAAAAATAATGATTCTGTGTAATATGTAATTTGAATGATCTTCAATATTCATGATTTTTTCAAATTTTTCTCACGCAATTTAAGGATGTTTGATTATTTTTCAACCGAGAGATGAAGTTATTCCCTTTATCTTGATAAAACTATAAATCCCCAACCCACGTTTATTATTTAGAAATGGAGTGGACAAAATGCACCAAACGCATGCGCTAACATGCGCCTATATGCGATAGAATCTTTCAAATATTCTCTCTTTTTGCGCGGATACCCCAAATTTTTTTCTGGCCATTCGATTCAGTATAGTTTTGCACACTACCTTCCATTTTTATGTCCATTTGTAGAGTCTTATAATAAGTGAATTATAAATTTCAACATAAATCCCATAAGAGCCGTGTCTAAGGAAAAATTTGTAACATCAAGAAATTAATTTCATATGTTCTGCTATCAACCACAAAATTATAGAATTTTCCTTGAACATGAAAAAATAAGATTTACTGAAAATAGCTAAACATTCTTAATTCACAAACTTCATAATTGAAAATGGTTGAATCTATAGTGTGATCTCTACCAAACTGTAAAAGATACTTGGATATCCTTAACCGAATTTAATAAGCATTCCACATTACAATTAGCTTCAATTGCTGTTATTTGACAGTCCTCAAGTATTTAATCGAATTTGTTCCATCCCGACCTAGAATGAAAAAATTAATTCCAGACATACCAGTAATCCCTGACGCAGAAGAATTCCACGAGGAGAATTTGATTGAAGCCCCATCTGCTCCCTCGTAAGTACATGATCAAACATTTCAGAGTTTTCTTTGAAGAGAAAAAAGCGTGGATAAAAAATAAATTCATAGAACTTAATACTGAAATGAATCTGAAATTTAGAGGGATTAATCGCATCGCAGCCTATCAGGAATTGGATACGGATTTACTTAAAAACGCCTCGTTTGCATTTTTGGATGATGTGAATCTCTCTCTTCTGACGGAGAAGCTGTATCCCGAAAAAATAGTACAAGAGTCCGACGAAGTTTGGAATTGGGAGTCGACATTCATTCAAGTGTCTTCAGAGCTGAACAGTGAAGCCCAGAAGAAGAGCGAAGCCTGAATTACATTTGTTGCATTTATTATTTGAATTTACTGACTCGTGGTTTGTTCGATTCACATGTTTATTATCATCGGTTTTTATATTTAATAAAGAATTTTTAATGCTCAATTTTTGGTTTATATGCATTTGTGTACTGATTGTGAGAGAAAAATGGTTAACAATGGAACATTTTTCCTCAACGTTGGTCTTTGTGTGTACTCAATTTTCTATTGTTCTTGGATTTGCATTTTCCAAGATTTATGGTTTACATATTTTTCATCTAATAATTAATGAACAAAAAAAGGAAAAAAGCCTCGGAATGACTCGACTGGAGAAATACGATATTGAGAAAATACTTCTCTCGAGTAAATGCATATTTCGCTAAAATAATTTTCTTTCTCAGTGTATACATATGAAAGATAAATAAATGAGTACGAATTAAAAATACTCCTGTCGTGTCGAATAAAAGTAAATAATGCAGTGAAATATCAAACGATATCAGTCAAACTAATAACAAAAAACATGGCATACTGCGAATCTGCAGTGCCTGTATATGGAAGCGACAAATTACCTCGTCTGACCTATTCGATTGCCCCCCAATTTGGAAATCGCGGTAGTTCGAGGAGCGACGTGAAGACTCAACCGTGCAGGCGGTACAAATCCGTGATGCCGAAACACCACGAAGTTGTGGATGCGCATCGGGAGCCGAACACAAGCTACTTGAAGCGACCACGTGACAACACCCACTGAGCAGATCTGCCATATATCTATAACGTTAGCGATCAATGTTCAGCTGCGCCATCACTAGCACACACTTCCACAGGTCCAATACAACTCACTTTTATATATACCAAATGCAGCCATGATAAACGGTTGCGAGAAACTTGAGAATCTTGACAGACGAATTTTCGTTATTCCCGTCGATTTTTTAGATTTTTTTGTCGGCGAATATTTGAACGTCCACATTTAATGGACTATCGTAATTTTTTCGTTATTGTTAAATTAGATTATCATTATTTTTAACAATAATTTTAAAAAATTTATTTGTTATTTTGGTGCTAATGACGTTTTGGGTGAAGAAAATACGGAATAGATTTTATTACATAAAACAACTTATGTCCAATTTTTTGTAATTTTCTGTTGATGGATTCATTTGTTGGACAATTTTTTTTTTATTCAATTGTGGGCCTGGAGAAAACGGTTGGGGAGCTGCGTGGCCATCTGGTGTCCATCTTAGCAGCTTGTTCGCGTCTCTCCCGTGCGGTACGTTTCAAAAAACCTCGATTTTTATATATAAGATCTATGCGCGCGCTCTCGCGCGCGCTGATCTATTCATTTGTTGAAATGAAGAAATGGAATTCATTAAATTTCATTTTCTCATGAATACCTTATAAATATTGATAATGAATCAAAGAGAATTCGACTAATGATTGAAGTGAATAGCGAAGTAGAGTAAAATAATCTATAAAGAATTTTTCATTTTCAATTAATTTTCTTCAATTTTTTAAAATAATCGGTCTCCATAAAAGGATAGAATTTAATAATTTCACCGATAATATATATATACATGTGAAATATATATATATATATATATATATATATATATATATTGTATATATATGACGTGAAAAAAAAATTTACCACTGAAGAATTTAAAATTATGTCACTGAAGAATTTGAAAATGCCACGTGTTTTTTTTTTGTGAATAACTTCGTGTCATATATTGACCAATCAGAATTAAGGATTAGCGGTCAGGCAGTTTCGAGATATTTCGATATAAAACAACTTCACGTTTCTTTCATCTTTAATAAAATAGGATATTTTAGTTTTGAACGAACTCGGCCCAAAAATTAATGTTTTAATTCATCAATGAATGTGATGCAGCCTGACAATAATTACTAGCATCATTAGAGTTCATTATGATGGAAAATCAATTTATGTTAACAAACAAATAATCTGTATGTGTGAATAGGGGAAAGTTATTCTTCAATTGCTCAGTAATAAATCAACGGAATTTAATCATTTTTTCAGATATTGGGATTGTTGTATTTATCCATCGACACTAATCAAAATTCAATTCATACATTAATTTTTAAATCACTCCAATCTTTTTAAAAATCGCTCGTCCCACGATAACTCAAATATGAAGCTTCAAATTCATTCAATTATGTACGAAAAATACTTATTTAAGTTTCAATTTATTTAAGTTTTTATGCGCCCCTTATGATCGAATTTTTTTTCACCCGACAGCTGGCGCGCCCTGCAGGCAACTAATCGAACTAAAATTGATTCGAATGAATTTAAAACTTAACGAGCAATTTTATTCCCATCAAGGAAATAGAATCCAATAAAAAACTACTTTCATTCAGAATGACCTCTCATTTTCCCATTTTCGCGGCAGTTGGCGTAACGCGTTAAATAGAAGAACCATGGAAAGTTGGAAAGACGGAAAAAATAATACCGTGTTTTATTACTGTGGAAACATGGTAATTTTTGTGTACACTGCACCAAGCCTCGCCACACGTAAGAATTTCCAGTGAAACATTGAGAATTATAAAATCAATTAAACGTGCCGAATGCATGAATGCGATAATAGTGAAACAAAGAGTCGTAGCCTCATAGAGTCCATCGAAAATATGTGTGGCGGACGTCGTAAAAACTTGAAGTCAATATTGTAGAGAGCAATACTTGAAATATAAACTCAATCTGTTCACAATAAAATTGTCTAGATGACATGAATCGAAATTTAAAAAATTATTTTCGAATTGTTAATTCAACTGCTAGGAGACCTTTAAAATTAGATTATAAGTTTTGGGCAATAGGCACACAGAAAAACCTAAACGTAAAATACGTTTTGATAACCGTGAAATACGCTTAACATTAATATGAGGTCTGATAGCGTTTTTCCCGCCACGAAAATCGGAATTGGGGCTTTAAAAAGGGTATTTTATGGTTAAAATAAAAACGTAAATTACGCCTCAACAGACTGTCTTTTACTTTTATCAAAACCTAATTTACGTGTAACAAATCATAAAATATGATCTCAATGAACGTATTTTTCGATTTTCTTTCGCGTAATTTGCGAAAAAAAACATCGCGGTTTGGGCCTGAAATATTTTTTTTCCACATTAATTCATGATTCATTTCGAATCAATTTTTTTTTGCACTAATTATTCGTTTTCAGATCTATGTGATCGATCTTCAATGTATGAAAAGTCTCACTCCAATAACCCACGACTTTTAACCCCAGACTGGTCACCATGCGAGGGAATTGCCGCAACACGTCGTTTTATTCACCTTGCCATCGACTGGTTGACCGGAAAAATTTGAGAAAAATTGAATTCGTCGATTGAAGTATCTGGAATATTCTAGAATTTTTTTTTTCAATATTGTATCCTTAATACTGGGAGAAAAAAAATTATTTCCAACAGGTGAACAATTTTTTCCCGCGTTAAATGAAATTTCCTGTTGCGCGACGTTGCTGGGAACTCGCTAAACGCACCCGGGAAGTGTAGAGTGGATTCGGCAACGCTGGAGCCTAAATAACACGGCGGCACTCTCCCGCGAAGGTGACTAAAGTCGCATTTTCTCGTCAGGTGACCAGACTAGGGTTAAAACTCACAGTACACTGAGTCTATTTACACCGGGGAGTTGGATACGAGGAGAGTTGAAGTAACTCGTCGGTGGAAACACAACGATGAGTTAGTCTCAGTGGAAACGAGACAGAAGTTGGCTATTATTTCCCATGTAAAAGGAAATCCATCGAACTCCTTTGAGTTTATGTCAACGCTAACAACACATCAAGTTCGTACGGTGTAAATAGACTCACTGAGAGAAAAATCTGAAGTTCGATCTACAATAAGAAAATAGTTGAGGCATTTTGGTGAACTATACGATTTTTTTTGTATGCGGCACATAACATTACAGTAACTTCACAAGCGTAATTTTTGCAAATCAAAATGCAGTTAAACTACCCAAAGTTCAAAAGTAACCACGACAAATCTATCGTGAGGAGAACTATAAAATAGTTGCAATGACTGCATTCCATTGTAGTAATTACTTCTCCGGCCATAGTTACCGTAACCCATGAAAAATTGTTGAGGACTTTTTGACTATAATTCGATGGTGATGGAATATAGTCAGAAGAATTATATTTTTCTCTCAGTGTAGTCTCCCCTTAAGTCAGGAGAAGATATGATTTTGCTGTTGGAAAAAAGCGGTAAATTGGCTGCACATTATTGATTGATAACTCATTAACAAAGAGTTGGGGACCCAAATTTCGCTGAAGTTTTCATCTTCCCATCCCCCCTCGCTATACCCTCAAAGGATGTCCCTTTACGGTCAGTCGCGGATGCTGCACTTCACATTATTCTGTAGCCGGCACCTATAGCTGCGTAGCACCTATGTAAATATATGACAGAGGCCGCAGCGGCAGTGGTGCGCCACCCACCGTAGCACCTACATCGTTCCCCCATTAAAAAAGCGAATTGCTTCCCGTCAAAGTGCATAAGAAGTTAAAGCCATACCGATTGATACAACTATTAAAAAAACGGAAAAAATTATATTTCAACAGTTGAACCTACCTGAACATTCCAAATACAACATTATCCATCATTATCGAATTATCATCTAAACATTGTTTTTGTGAGACGTGTGAAAAGTGAAAACAGCTTGTATTGTTATTTTATAGCTCAAATTTGTTACAAATAAATTGAATTTTTCAATGACGAGAACAACTTCTACCGCCACTAGCTGTTGAATTCCTACGGTAAATGAGAAAGAATCATAATTCAATTTTATTTGTCAATTATCAGTGGAAGTAAAATGCACAATAACTTGAAAATATTCAGATGCACTCTACACTGAGAGAAAGAACATCATGTTGTCAAAGAAGTTGTGTTCGAACGAAAAAATCGCAAGTTGAAAATTTTCAAGATTGAAATTGTTTTATTTGACTCGATATATCGACTCAAATGAAATATTTCACTCAAGAGATGGATCACTGGTGAGACGGCGCCTTTTCTGACTGCAAATATCTCTCATACCGTGAAGTTCCTCAAGAAATATTTCAATTGTGCTCAAGTCACTGGATTTCCGTCGTATTATCATTATCATTCCATTCAAAAATTCATTTCTTGTTTTTGAATTTTGGATAGTCGAAACGAGAAAAACTATTCTTCCTTGTTTCGCACCCGAAGAGAAATTCTTAAGAAAAATTTTAGTGCTAGCGCGGGAAAAGGGGCGCAAAGTGCCAGATAGAAAAAAATTTCAGTGCTGGCATTAGAAATTTTATTGGGTAACACGTGCATTTTTCTCGCGTTGATATGACATTTTTACGGAAATCCCCGGAAATTTTGATTACATGTCAAAATGACACACGTAAATGTTGACGCAGCCAAATTCAACATAAACAAATTGAACATAAAAAAATTCAACACAATTTTAACAAAATTATCAAGACAGTCTTCGAAATCAATAAATATTTGCTTTTGGCGTGAGAATTCATTTGATGAAAAATCAAAAAATATGAAGAACAATACAGTGAATTGCATCAATAACTGGGAACACATAAATTTGTAAATCGGCAAATTCATAAAATTCATATCAAATTACAATTAAACTAATCACAACAAAATAATATCATGCACACAAGAGAATATCATACACTTCACAGTAGCGATTAGTGAGATGATACAAAACTTCAAATACACATATACACACACACACACACACACACACACACACACACAATACACGTATTAAATTTATATATCTTAACGTGTGTTATTTTGACTGGTAACCGAAACTTTACCAGAAACAATCAGAAATTTTACTTGAACAACACTAGAATTTTCCTAAAGAATTTCCCTTCGTGCATGTAATGAAATTTTTGTCGGGTGAATAATGCGTACAGTAGTAAAGAATAATGAAAGAATAGTGCTAGAAAAGCATCCCCAGAAAATAATTTTTTTTAGCAATTAAATATCAGTAGCGAAGTGGTAAAACGGTTTAGTCGAATTATCTCTTAGTTGAGTTTTTGAAGAATATCTCCGAATGTAAAGGAGATAATGAAATTTTCGTAATAAACTTTTTTCTAGAGCAAATTGAATGCTACAAAAAAGGTCTTGACGAAAATTTAGGTATCTCCCTTAGATTCCGAGGTATTCACTAAAAACTGATCAATAGTCAAAATCGACTTAAACTGGTTTACCACTTCGCTACCGATATATGTTTACGACAAAAACTTCCCGCTGGGAGACGTCTTTCCGGGGTTTAACGCGAGATTCTCTGTATTCTTTCTTTTCTTTTATTCTCAGTATATAATGATCTTGAAATTGTTCTCGTTTAAATTATCAAAGTCTTCGGCAATTTGAATCCAAATCACGCGAAATCTTTCTCAAACTTTAAAGTACCTTCAGTCTCCAGTGACGAAACCTACAGGGCAATACAACTGTGTAGTTCAATTATTCTCACTCAACTCCTGAGAGTACACTATCAAGCTGCACGTGTTTAACTTAATTGGAATTTCTGCGCTGACGGTGAATCGGTGCTGGTAGAAACTGTTTGAATTCAATCATGTGGGTCCTAAGAACCGTTTTAGTACTTCATTTATGACACTATTGATATTAACGATTGGCTTCCACTGACTGCGTACCGAAAGAGGTGAAAACAATGGGGAGTGAAGCAATTGAACGAGTATTATCAAATATTTCAAGGTTATCCACTAGAATTTATTTCGAGATGAATAGTTGCACCACTATTTCATTGAAATTCTTCTCAAAATTCTCACAGAAAAATGGTTCATTTGAAATTTGTAAATAAACTTTACTTGCATCAAATATATGAGTTCATTCAAATATCTCGTAATAAGGATTTTATTTAAACTCAAACTCTATTTTTATTTGCATTTTGATTCAAATTAAATAAATATTTTTTCAAATACATCAACAAATGTTTCCTTGATTTAAATGGAGACTTTATTAGGGGGAAATGGATTTATCAACGTGTTTGGATCAAATAAATTGTTGAATTGTATTGACTTCTAAAGAATTTATTATTCATTTCCTGGTGTCATAGCATTTTCATTGAAATAAATTTATTTAAAATAAAAATGAAAATGATAGGAACATTATGAGATGATGTCAGTTCAATTGTTCGGTAGGGGAGATCGGGGCAAAATGAAATCCCTCATTTTTCTATTTTTCAATGAGACAAATGAGTCCAGTGTTTTTTTCGATCTAACGTCGTTTAACAGATCGCATAAGCAGGAAAATAAGTTTTCGAATCAAAAAACGGAGCTTCTGTTTCAGACAATCTCTAATCGTCGTTACGAGCAATATTCTCGTTTTTACGGGAATGAGAAAATTTCTTGTCTCATGCAGATATTTCATCTTACAGTTATGAATTTTTGTAAGTTCATCGACTCAATTTTTTTTGTACACTTGAAAATTTTTTGGCTGCAAATTTCCGATACACTTTCAGGAAATTTTTATCACATTTTAGTTCCACTAAAATTTCAAGAAATTTCGTTATTGAAAATTCAGAATCTCATGGGAAAATCAATGACAACTGCAAATGTAAGTTTAATTATTCCCTTAAACTTGATACAAATCCGGAAATTTTCGTTAAATATAATCTTGAATTTTCAATTAACTGGAAATTCAGCGGTATTTAACACTAAATATTCTATTTTTTGTAAAAAATTCTAATAAGCTGAGGAATTCTTGTCTTAATGCTGCTTAAAAATTTGGAATTTCCTGTGAAATCTGAAGTTTCATAATTTTTTCCCCTTAAATCGCATTCAATATTCATCTCCTGAAAATTACTAGTCGATTGATCATAAATCGAGTGAAATAATCAAGAGTCTCTCCCGTTTTACCTCACGAGGATCAAATTTCGTCACGGTCATGGTTATTTTGGCAGGTATTAATTAATTATTATCAATAATACTAGACTAGGAATTGCGCGCTAACTTAATCAGAATGCTTCGATTCTTATTAACTTCCGTTTAGAACTTTTTCAGATTGTAATCTTTGAAATCTGAGTTATGTTTATATTTTAAATTTACTAACAATGGGGTATTTCATTAGCAATGGTAGAAAAATTAATCATTCGTGTAAAATCGCAAATTTTACAGGAGTCTCATTTTGTCCGGCTGTCCATTTTGCCCCGGTCTCCCCTACTAATAACAAATTTCAAGAAATAAATAATGCAGTTTCTTATCAGTCACCCTAGACGCCAATAAATCTAGTCAAGAAAGGACGGAAATTCAACTACATATTGAATAAAAAATACTCAAGAATGCAACTATTCATTTCCCTCAATAACAGGAACATTTTTTCTTTCCAACACTTAAAGACGACAGGGAAGTGTGACCATACTTTGAATAAAAATGTAATGAGTAAGATAGAGCTGATGATACTAAAAATTACCAACGACACATTGAAAAAGATACGGTTATCTCTTTCGCTGTGCTCAGCGCTAACTTTCATCGCTCTGTGTGTCTGTGTGCCATTAAACTCACCTTTCATTAATCGCAATGTGTTTTCTGTTTAATTCACATGCCGATGTTTTCTTTCGACGGAATTCCATTGTTTCCCCACTTGGAAATGCTCGCAAATGAATTCATTTACGTTCTTCTTGTCATAAGTTATAACTACGAATTTATTGATTTTTCCCTTTAAAATTGGTACAATAATACTTCGCAAATTCGTGATAATGCGTCGATAACTCGCGTCTTGATTTTTGCTTCTGAATGGAAACATTGTATTCGTCAAATCCGAAATTTTTCTCGAAATTTTTTATTGTTCGTTTTCCTGAAAACGCTTAAAATGCTAGAAACAGTCCAGGGCCTTCAATTTTTGAGCTACAAAATTTTTTTTTTTTTAATTTTCGGAAAAATGTGTGGAACAACAATTACGAGCCAGTTTTTTGGAATTCGACTCCTACACAATTGATTTCGGTTTTTTTTCATATAAAAAAACTCACTATTTGTGTAAAAAAACACAAAAAAAGCAAATTTAGCCATATAAGAGGCGAATTAAACAAAAACTAGCTCGTAATTATTGATCCCCATATTTTCCCGAACAATTTGAAAAAAAAAATCCTTCGTAGCTCAAAAATTGGAGGCCCTGGACTGTTTTTGCCATTTTTAGCGTTTTCGGGCAAACGAACAATAAAAAAAATTTTTTGCACTAATTATTCGTTTTCAGATCTATATAATAGATCTTCAATGTATGAAAAGTCTCACTCCAATAACCCACGACTTTTAAAACTCATAGTAGTCTCCCCTTAAATCCAAATGAATTCTATTGTTATAAAATTTGTCACTAAATTATGCGTGCTATTTTAATTTCTTATAACAACGTAACTATTTCTATATGAACCTGCCACAAGCTTCGTTTAAAAAAAGTGACGAGCATTGCGTATTTTTTTGCTCCAGGAGAGATACCTTCATATGGCGGATTGAATTGCATCGAAGCAATCTGAAATTGAAAATATAAAAAAAAAGAGGGAAAACCCAATTCCCATTGAGAATCACAAAACAACATATCAATCAATTAATTTGATCCGGAAGCCCAGGAGAGTCAATGGAAAAAATGATCGCAGAAATTTCCAAAATCGCAACAAAAAATTTCCTCCAAATTCGCTGAATATGGATTGCACATCACAGCCTTTGAAAAAAATGTAAACACGAGAGAATAAAAATGAGTTCAGTCGCAAAAGTTGAAGAGCAAACAATGATATGAATTTGTGGACAAATATATTGCTCATGTTTGTAGCATCAAGCGTTGGACATGAATTTCAAGTGGAGAAAAAATTGACTGATTATGATTTCATTGAGATGGGGAGTAGTGATAATGTGACAGAAGGCGGTAATGACACATGCACAAACGATTACTGCATAAGCGATGAGGCATATATTGACCTCATTGCGGATTACCTGACGCCACGGGGATGGGATTTGGTCCTCATTGGCATCCACATAACAGTCTTCATCGGGGGAATCATCGGCAACTCGTTGGTGTGCGCCGCAGTTTACCGGAATCACACAATGAGGAATGTCACCAATTACTACATTGTCAATTTGGCGGTTGCGGACTTGATGGTTATCATTCTTTGCTTACCACCGACTGTTCTGTGGGACGTCACAGAGACGTGGTTCCTGGGCAACTGTCTCTGCAAAGTCATTCCCTATCTCCAGGTAAGTGGAAGTACAATCTAGGGTCCATTAAAATATTACGTCACGGACTTTTGCTTTTCGATTTTCTAGTTTTTACTGCAAATCAGAAGCGAAGTGGTAAAACGGTACAAGTCAATTTTGACTGTTGACCAGTTTTCAATGAATATATCGGAACCTAAGGGAGATAGCAAAATTTCTGTTATAACCTTTTTTGTAGCGCCGATTGAGAGCTACAACAAATATAATTACGAAAATTTCGCTATCTCTCTTAGATTCGCAAGTATTTCTCAAAAACTCAATTGGGAGATAAGTCGAATTAAACTGTTTTACCACTTAGCTGCTGACTTAGCCAGTACTCGTCTCGATGGCCTCTATGTGAGTCAATTAGAATATATAGACTCTTTAATACGCAGTTTGGAGATACTGCCGTTTTTCCCTTTTTCATGAAAAATCTTGTACGCGCGATAACTTGAGAAAAAAAGGAGATAGCAAGTTGAAATTTGGTATGGTTCTAGCTTTTATAATACTGAAGGTTGGTATTATAAGAGTGAATCCCATTGATAATTATATAAATCTCGAATTAAACCAAGCTATTAATCACAAGACAAGAATTCGGTAGCGAAATGGTAAAATGATACAAGTTAATTTTGACTATTGACCAGTTTTCAATGAATATCTCGGAATCTAAGGGAGATAGCAAAATTTTTATTACAACCTTTTTTGTAGAGCCGATTGAGAGCTACAATAAATGTAATTATAAAAATTTCGCTATCTCCCTTAGATTGGGAAATATTCCTCAAAAACTCAACTGGGAGATGAGTCAACTTAAATCGTTTTACCACTTCGCTACTGAATTAACCTTTCTATTCTTTTCAAATTAATAATAATTTAATAATCATCTCATATTAGTCGTAAATTATTCTGAGTGAGCTTAATTGTTAGCCTGTTCGATACACAGAGAGACTGTTCATCCCACGAATAAGCATTCCACCACACGATTACGTGAGTTAACCCGTAATTTCTCCTGGAGTTTATTCTTCGTGCGATGGAATAACGCTTTTTACTGTCCTCCATACTATGCCCTCCGCCATAATTATTGTATTATTTTTTATCCGCGGGGATATGAACAGACCATTAAAAACGTTGCCATTAATAACGAAACCGTCAAACGAACCGTGAAACGGTATTTATACAAGGATTTGCATCCACGTTTTTACGTTCATTAACTCTCAGTGTTAATGTCAACACTGAAAGCCACATTGACAATGTGAAAATAGTACATTTCACCTCAGCAACTTTTCTGACGAATATAAACTCGCCTTCGGCTCGTCCTGTAATCATATGAGGTAGAAAAGTTCTCGCTTCGCTCGGTTAGATCGCGGTTTACGGGCCTTCTGACGAAAAATTGCAGTCATCACAGGGTCCACAAGTATTTTCTGACGAATGTGATTATAGGCCGAGCCGAAGGCGAGGCCTACAAAGCCACATTCGTCAGAAAATACTTTGTGAACCTTGTGATGAAAATAACTATCACGACCGTGTATCGAACAAAATCAGTTCAGTCAGTTGTCAATTCAGTTGTCCGGCCGCAAAGCAGCGCCTTAGGGACGCTACGCGGCACTTGCCGAGAGTTCACTGTTTCGAACGAGTGTGCGTAAAGCGAATTTCTAGCGCGTAAAGCGAAGCTTAGAGAGTGGATAGCTTAGTTGGAATCAACGTTCACCCGGCTAAAAAATTCGATTTTGGCGAAAGTCGACTTTCTCCCTGGCAAAACCGAAAATCTGACCCTTTGAAAATTAAAAAAAAAAACTTTTTCAGTTTTCACTTTTTTGACATACTTTTGAGAGTTCTGAATAGCTCGTCGCGTAAATAGTTAGAATCAACGTTCAAAGACCGAAAAAACTGAGGATTCGAAAGGTCTGCGGAAAAGTACGTCGCAAAGCTGATTAGGACTTACCAGGTCAACCTAGGTCTGGAGAGATCTTGAAAGACCTGTGTACGTCCAATCAGAACCAAATCCTCGACTCGGGAAGTCACAGCTAGTACGCAATTTTTTATATGGCAAGGCTGTTAGCTGTCACTTGCACCGACACCTCTGTAATTTCAATTCAGTTAAAAACTCGATTCTCTTGCATATTCTTGACAGAAAAATTGTTGGACAAGTGTGGAATTGCGCGTTTTTATACACGTCACTCTCTTGTCATTTCCACGGGATTTCAACGGAAAAGTATATTTCGTTGGAAATTATAATTCTTAGAAAAAGTATATTTCAGGGCGAATGTCGTGGGGGTTTTACTCGCGTGGAATTGGCGTCCGAGCCGTAGGCGAGGACTGGCCAAACACACGAGTAAAAAAACCCCATTGCAATCGCAAGTATATTTCAGGGCGAATGTCATGGGGTTTTTTACTCGCGTGGAATTGGCGTCCGAGCCGAAGGCTCAAATCCCGGGGTTCAAATCCCGGTCTGGACTATCCATTTTTTTCAGTAAAAATTTTCTGGTTATTCATATTGAGCATAATCCCAGTTCCCCTCCTACCTCGACCAAATCCCATCCAATCATTTCTTATGATGGCACAAAAATGTAGAACCCTACATAAATTCCCTGCTTTAATGTAGCCGAAGGCTCGGACTGACCAACCACGTGAGTAAAAAACCCCCAGGGCACTAGTCGTGAGCGATATTTTTCCATAGTAATTTTCATGGACGAGGAAAAATCAAAATCAGTACGGAAAGACATTTTTCCATTTACTCAATTTATGCGTCACTCCTATTTGTCACCTGCACTAGTGCCTGTTTATGAATTGAAATAACCACTCGATATCATTACATTATAAATTCATTTGCATAGAGCACCTATGTACGTAAATTTTAGTCACGCACCCTCAATCTGTTCCCCTGGCTTTTATCTCCAACTAAATGGCTTTCATCATCTCTTTCTTCTGTACTGCGCACTGTTGCCCACGAACTTCATATATTATTGAAGTAACAGCTACGTGCCGAGTTTACTATCTTCGTGATTTGTAACATCTGGGGACTCACTAAGCTTCATTCAGGTACGTACCTTCGTGCACTCGATGTTCTCTTTTACTTTTGCTTTCGCCTAGAGATTAAATTTTTCCTACTTACTATTGATCCAGGATGTTTTTACATTTTTGCACGAGTTTTGATTACATTAATCAAAGGTTAATTGTTTATTAGTGCGCAATTCTTTTTAAAGATAGAAAAGTATATGAAAACGGATATGAAATGAAAACAATTCAGTAGCGAAGTGGTACACCGGTTTAAGTCGAGTTATCTCCCAGTTGAGTTTTTGAGTAATATTTGCGAATCTAAGGGAGATATCGAAATTTCCGTAATTACATTTGTTATAGCTCTCAATCGGCTCTACCAAAAAGGTTATAACAAAAATTTTGCCATCTCCCTCAGATTCCGAGATATTTATTGAAAACTGATCAATAGTCAAAATTGACTTATAGAGTTTTACCACTTCGCTACTGAATTGAAGTGTTCGGGATTTGACTCGGGTGGATATCGAAGCGGTATTAGTGTGCAATGCAAATGATAATAGATTAACTTCTAGAAATTTTGTGATTCTCAATCGTGTGGATCAAATCAATGAAAATTGTAAGTAGTTTTGAATACTTAGGGAGCGTAATTTCGATTTGATTTTTCAAACTGCTTCAAAAATTCATCGTCTTGACAACTGAAAAAATTATCTTCATTGATCCTAGGTAAAAGTTCTGCATTTCATCGCTTTATTCATTTAACCCTCATCTGGTTACCAAACGCGGGGATTCCCCGCCGTGTTACTTAGGCTTTAGCGTTGCCGAATTCACTCTACATTGCCCGGACGCGTTTAGCGAGTTTCCGGCAACGTCGCGTCATGGGCAATTTCATTTAACATGAGACAAAATAATTCATCTGTCCGAAATAATTTGTTTTTTTAAGGAATTATGAGAAATATGTTGTTCTGAAAACTACTATAATTTTTTAGACACTTCAATTAACACAGTCAATTTTTTTATAATATTTCCGGTTGGCCCGTCAATTGTAGTTAGAGAAAAAGGCGGGGTTTCTAGGGTTAGGGATATCCAAGTATCTTTTATCGTTTGGTACAGACCACACTAGAGATTCAAACATTTTCAATCATCAAATTTCTCAATTAAATTGCGTGGGAAAAATTTGCAAAAAAAATCATGAATATATTTAGCGTTATTCAAATTACATTTTGCACAGAATTATCATTTTTTTAACATGTGTTGTTTATAAATAAATAATTGACATTGTTTAAACTTTCGGAAACCTTTTTTAAGATTTTTTTGAAAGATGTCAGTAATTTTTAAATACGAGAAAATGTAAACAAATGCCAATTATATGTTGGGAGCAAGACAATGAAACTGACACGTGTTTTCCCTCCCGCAGTGATCAATCTAGAGTTTAATCGGCCATTTACGTTGTGTATTCACGTTAAATTGTAACTAACTCAATCAGTCATGTAATTTGATTGTCCCATGACATTGGAGAGTGCCCAGAGGAAGGACCCTCTTCGCCTATTTCGCGTTCCCATCACTATATCTCACTGACGCCGAATTTTCTCAATTTTCCGATGAAGTTTCGCCTCGTAGTCGATATTTGTACCGGCCCGTTCAATTTACTTCGGCATTTAATAACGGTGAAGCGTATCAACGTGGAAATGTCATGATCTTTGTGTTACACGGAAAGAACATAAAGTTACACTGTTAGAAAATTACTCTTCACGGAGAGAAATGTTCAGTAAAAATTATGGAACTCACAGTTCGCTCACTAATTACGGAATCTACTCAGAAAATTTAAGTGACGGTATCGTAATTTTTTACAGGAGATTCAGGTAAAAACTACAGAACGCTCTGGAACAATTCAGTGATTTTAGATGAAAATTATGTGACAGTTCTGTAAAATTTCCCACAACCACATTGCGCTCCGGAATTACGGAAAAGATACGTAATTTTTATTGAATATTTCTCTCCGCGTTGGAATTTGGAGTAAAAATCTTGAAATTTTTAACAACGAATTATTTACATGGAATTTCCATTAATCTTGTTATTGATAAATCAGTCAATTTTCTTGAATGTGGAATGAAATTTGATTTTTCAGAAAATTTTACTGAAAATTGTGAAAATTCAGGCAATTTTTCTTTGGAATTTTTAATCCTTTGAAAATTTAATCGAATGTAATGCTTAATTTTTGCGATAGGTGTGAAAATCCAAATTGTGATTGAAAATTCAATAATTATTCACCATGAAAAACTTAATTTTATTGAATTTCCAAGATGAATCAGGAAGCCCATGAGCAATTTAGTCTGCAATTAAATTCAAGTTCCGAATATGGAAAATTCAAATGGATCTGTTATTTAAATTTCAAAAAATTTCTAACAGTGTATTTTTGACTGTGGCAACATAGTAATTTTTAATATAAGAAATGGAATGCAGGATCATACTGGCATAAACTTGGCGAGGCATAATCCTTGCAACGTTTGATCCTCGGGAAGTATAACCATGACGAAGTTTGATTCTCGTGAGGTAAAACGGGAGAGACTTACTTATTCCATTCGATTTACGATCAATCGGCCCTTGTCCTTAAAATTTAATAGCCAACTAGTAATTTTCAGAAGAAACATATTAAATGCGATTTAGGGGGAAAAATGATGAAATTTCACATTTCACAGAGAATTTCAAATTTTTAAGCAGCATTAAGACAAGAATTCCTTAATTTATTAGAATTTTCTATGAAAAAGTGAATGTTTAGTGTAATTACGCTCAATTTCCAATTGATTGAAAAATTCAAAATTATATTTACTGAAATTTTCTTGATTTCTATCAAGTTTTAGGGAATAATTAAACTTACATTCGCAGTTCTCATTGATTTTCCCATGAATTCTCAATGACGAAATTCCTTGCAATTTTAGTGGAACTAAAATGTGATAAAAATTCCCTGAAAGTATCGGAAATGTACAGCCAAAAAATTTTCAAGTGTCCAAAAAAATGGAGTTACGATGAACTTACAAAAATTCATAACTGTAAGATGAAATATCTGCATGAGACAAGAAATTTTCCCGCTCCCGTAAAAACTAGAAAATGGCTCATAATAACGATTGGAGATTGTCTCAGATAGAAATTCCCTTTTTTTATTCGAAAACTGATTTTCCTATTTATGTGATCTATTGAACGACATTACCTCGAAGAAAACGCTGGACTCATTTGTCCCATTTTGCCCCGGTCTCCCCTACCGTAATGGAAATAGTTCTGATCCACTCGAGAAAGGTCTCCTGATCGAATCGTCTTTCATTAACCACTAACATTCTTATCATTGTTTCTTTTTCAGACAGTTTCTGTCAGTGTCAGTATCCTCACGCTTACCTTTATATCGATCGACAGATGGTACGCAATATGCTTCCCGCTGAAGTTCAAGTCAACGACAAAGCGGGCAAGACGAACCATTCTGGTCATCTGGATATTCTCATTAATTTTTGGTAAGAATACGAGAAACTTTCGTGTTTTGATGATTAATTCACGTGTATCCCTTATCCATGAAGACAACGCACGAAAAAATTTAATAGAAAAACCTATCGAATGCGTTAGAAAATTCTATTGAATTTCTATTAAATTTTCTATTAGTTTTTGGCTGATTCTATTGACATGTTCAATAGAAAAAATTCAATAGAAAAAGTTAACAGTAGTATATCGAGCCTTTCCCTCTCTCAATTTTTTATTCCTCTCCATCAGTTATCGTCATCTCTTACTCAATTTAAAATTTATGATTTAACTATTTACTAAGGGAAACCCACTCCATGGTTCACCCGTTCGATTCTCTTTGCACTTTCAGACATTCCGGATCTGATTGTACTCAAGACCGCTCCCGCACCCCATCTACGGGTCGAAACAATTTTTTACACCCAGTGCACAGTGTCGTGGAGTCAAAACAGCGAAAGAATATTTGCGCTGACAAAACTTGTTCTATTGTACGGCGGTCCTCTCCTGTTCATGACATTCACGTACTGTCGTATTATCCGGGTTCTATGGAGGAGTAGAATACCAGGATATCAGAGTGAGCAACGCATTTTTATTTTTAACATCAAGTCTTGTGCACAGAGCAAAACGATCCAATTGTCTCAATTCAAACTTTCGAAATCTATCATTACAGTGGCGAGAAATCCTGCACCAATAACTGAGTCGACTGTTTCAATACACGAAAATTTTGCCGGCCAATTGGCGTCTAGGCGGAAAGCTGCGAAAATGCTCATCGTCGTGGTGCTGGTCTTTGGTCTATGTTACCTCCCTGTTCATATTCTCATTGTTCTCAGGTAGGTGATACATTAGAAGTTGATTGTCAATAATTGTGAGTATCATATGAAGTGAACCGATATCATGTCAATGTATAGGGATACACCAAACGTATTCCTTTTTGCTTCCAACTGGAAGCATTGTAATCGTTCAAATCAGTAGCGAAGCGGTAAACCGGGTTAAGTCGATTTTGACTATTGGCCAGTTTTTGACGAATATCTCGGAATCTAAAAGAGATAGAAAAATTTTTGTCAGAAACTTTTTATAGCCCTTAATTAGTTCTACAAAAAAGGTCATGAGAAAAATTTCGCTAGCTCTCTTAGGTTCTGAGATATTCATCAAAAACTGATCAAAAGTCAAAATCGACTTAACCCGGTTTACCGCTTCACTACTGAAATGTACAATAAGTTTTGGATTTTTTGTGTTATATCGACCCATTACGATCCAAAAACTTCGAGGGGCTGGTCACTCAGTCGGATGGTTCAGTAATTTCCAGAATGGGATGATTTCCTATCATTTCTTGAATGACTTTTCATAATTTCCATGATTTCTAGTAGATGTTGGTGATTTCTTGAAATCAAGAAATCAAGAAAACCAGACACAGACAGACAAATCAGACAAATCCGGGAATTTGTCGGGTTTCCGGGCAGATCAGGAAAGGTTTGGATTGTTTTTCTTGAAATCAAGAAATCATCAGACTCTACTAGAAGCTTGAATAAAAAATTGGGGCTTTACTTTCATCGCCGATTTTTAAGTATTTCTGAAATCAGCTGATTTCTCCATGATTTGGACTAATTTCCAATGATTTCTGGTAGTGATGTCATGAAGACTAGATAAGAATTATTTTAGAAAGCTCATCACGGTCTAAAAAACCATCGAAAGTTTAGGAATCGTCGTAATCTCGAAAGACATTGGATCGGTGCATCTCGTCACGAACTTGGAAGAATCCCTCACGTCTGAGTTTCAGTATTTTCTGTTTTTCAAATGTTTGTCTCGATATCTGTCTCGTCTAGTCTCGTCTCCAAACCTTTCGATGTTCTTCCAGACCGTGATGATCTCTTCAAAATAATTCTCGACTAGTCTCGACGGCATCACTAATTTCTGGTGATTTCTTCCTTAATTTCCAATCGAGTGGTCCAGTGATTTCCTATAAAGACTTTGCAGGCTTGCACCTATCGTTAGTCTTTTAACAGTACCACCGAAGCCATCCCACGGAGATTTTGTTGTTTTTTGACATTATTGTTTCACTCATTCAAGAGCTGATTCAATTCAATTTAATTCCTTTGGTTGGCTATATCCCCCTGTCTTTGTTTGGAGGGTAAGTGCCATGGCTTATTCAAGAGCTGATGAAGCGAGAGTACATCTAATCCTCCCACTTGTTGCTGCAGTCGGCCGCGTGAGGGGGGAGGGGGGGGGGGATGACGGGTTGCACCCCCAGNGGTTGCACCCCCAGGGATTATGCCGCGAGGAGTCAATTGACCGCTTCACTATTCTGTTTATTGATTCTATCCCTTTTGTGTAGCGCCATCAAACCTTTGGACTTATTTCAATAGTCGACGAAGGAATACATATTTTTAAATATTTATTAATGTAAATTCTGAATTTTACATTCGCCTCTTTCCATTTCCATTGGGGCCTTTTCACTGGCGAATATAAGCTTTCTTTAAATTACTTCACTTGAACGTGAGCTTTGTTTGATTTCAGACAAACTATTGGACTCCCCTCGACCGAAACGAATGTAACTTGCAGCCTCATCGCCCACTGGTTGTGTTACGCTAATAGCGCAATAAATCCCATTATTTACAATTTCATGAGTGGTGAGTTATTACACTTGAATTTGTTTAATCAAATTTTAATATAACAAAAATAAATTAACAAATTAGCGAATTAAATGTTCAATATTGGCTAATAGCGCCTGGTTTATTAAATGTTTTAGTCCAATAACTTTAGTCAAAATTTCATAATTGTTTTTGAAAGAATATTTTCAATTTATATCTCAACTCTTTTTGGTGATTCGATACAACAAAAATAATTACCTTCTACGTTAATATTTTATTATTTCACATGGCGCAAGTATACGTGGAGATATTCAGTGGAAACGTATGTGGAAATATTCAGAAATGCAATTGGATAGCGGAAGATTTGGAGTGATAATATTTGTCCAATAATTTTCGTTCTCATCACTGCTGAAGTTTAAAAAAAATCTCCACAAATCGGTTGGGTTTTTTTTGCACTGCCCAAGTGAGGATAGAAGTGAAAATAAATTATTTCCATATATTCAAAATCAACTGAAAGATACTCATATGAATCTGAATTACTGCAAATTAATGGAAATTCTAAATGAGATCAGCAATAAGATAATTGCTCAAGGAGTTATGAAATAGTATATTTCGTAACGAGTGCAAAAAAGTGTTTTTTGGCGAGTGGGAGGTTTATATCACGAGCCGAAGGCGAGTGATATAATCCCACGAGCTAAAAAACATTTTTTCACGAGTTACAAACAATATTTTTCATCACAATGTGGCGGAAATCGCGGAGCGTGCCGAAAAGTTCACTTTTCGTCACAGCGTGATGAAAAAACAGTTTTTAATGCTTTTGATGCATTGTAAAACCACGAGTTAATTTTTCAATTATTCTAACGAAAGTGTTCTGTTAGCTCCACCAAATAATTTTGGCTTGTCATGGAGGGAAAGTCATCACAATGACATGTATGACATATATTTGATTACATTAGGAATCGATAAAAACATACGGAGGCTGTTATTTGGAGCTGGACAATAAATTGTTACACATGGGATAGAATTTGAAGAATTAATTCATGTCGCATGTCCCCGAAAACACGGTGTACATATTTTATGAGATGATATTGCAGTAGCGAAGTGCACAGACAGAAATGTTCAGTAAAAATTACGGAACTCACAATTCACTCACCGATTACGGAATCGACTCAGAAAATTTTAGTGACGGTACCGTAATTTTTCGCAGGAGATTCAGATAAAAATTACTGAACGCTCTGGAAAAATTCCGTGACAGTTCCGTAAAATATCCTACAACCACATTTCGCTCCGGAATCACGGAAAAGATACGTAATTTCTATGGAATATTTCTCTCCGTGTGGTCAAACGGTTTAACTTGACTTAGCTCTTAGCTGAGTTTTCGATGAATATCTCCAAATCTAAGGGAGATAGAAAAATTTTCATATATATATCTTTTTTGAAGCTCTCAATGTGCTCTACCAAAAAGGTCATAACAGAAATTTTGCTATCTGCCTTAGATTGCGAGCTATTCAGTGAAAACTCACGAATAGTCAAAATCGACTTAAACCGTTTGACCACTTTGCTACCGATTTTTACCTTTCGTTTCAGGAAAATTTAGAAAAGAATTTCGGCGTTCATTCCAATGCACTCCAAGAGGTTCCAATGACCGTAGAATGCACAAATGCACTCTCCCGTACTGCCCTCCAGATTCTCGATCTCAACCCTACCGGAATATACCAATTGAGGTGAATTTCCAGACATTACAAGGCACCAGCGAAATCATCCCTCTCAGCATGTGCATCAGTCGATCTCGATAGATCAAAAGAATTTAGCGAGGTGATATGCAAAAACTAAACGCATTATCTTTTTTTCGAAACTTTCTGTTGTCGCTAAAATCTGAAGATGTCCCCTACGAAACCCAACAGCGTGTTTCGATTCTTTTTGTTATTTGGCCACTTTAGGAGAGATTTGGCCGCACTGTCGCAGATGGGACACCCTGTATATTTATCTGCACTTTCCTGATTTCTCTTAATTTTTACGAAATAATTGAACTAAAATTCAAAATTTTCACTGATTTTTGACGTGGATACGTCCATGTTTTCATTATCGGGGGGCATTTAGGGAAAAAGTCCTTACGGTTCCTTATTGATACTGGCGTCATCTATCGGAATTATAGAACATTCTAGAATTCTCTAGAAAATTCTAGATTTTTCTAGCAAATTCCAGATTTTTCTAGAAAATTCTCCAGTTTTTTAAAGAAATACATTACAATTTTAAGGGATCCCAAAAGAATTTAGCGAGGTGATTTGCCAGAAAATAAACACATTATGTTTTTTTCGAAACTTTTTGTTGTCGCTAAAATCTATAGATGTCCCCTACGAAACCCAACAGCTTGTGTTTCGATTTTTTTTGTTACTTCCTCACTTTAGGAGAGATTTGGCCGCACTGTTGCAGATGGGATACCCTGTATATTTATCTGCACTTTCCTGATGTCTCTTAATTTTTACGAAATAATTGAACTAAAATTCAAAATTTTCACTGATTTTTTAATAATATTGGGGAATAATCCCCATAGGGAGGAAATTGCGAATTAATTATTTGATGTATCTAATGGCTGCTAGGTCGTCATTTGTTACAGTAGTCAATGGCTGTCAGATCGTTAGTTACCATGATAAATTATCCATTCACTATTTCCTTTCTACCGGGCATTTCTTAATCTCTATTAAAAGAGCTCTTAGAAAATTTCCTATTCGAGATTGAAATCTAGCGGATTCTAGAATGAAATTTGTCTGATTCGGTTATATCTATTTTTTTCGTGCCTGTTGGATATCCAAGTAACTTGGGGAATCCCCGACGTCCTGCTGATCAAGAATTTGGAACTCTACCGAATTTTTCATGAACTTTGAACATTCATGATTGTTTTTTCGCATAAATCGAATTTTATGTCACTCTCCTGAAAATTACTGATAATCAATTAATGATAATTTGACAGGTCAGAGACAACGTAACTATCGCCGGTTGATGTTCTAGAATCTACATATTTGAAATGCTAATTACAAAAATGAATATTTGATCTTTGATCGATTTCATCCTCATTCAGCAGAAAATAATAAAAAATAATAAAAATAATTAACAATAATCGGTAAAACTTCAAACTCATGATGTGGAATTCAATTTTTTTCACTTGAAGATACTCTACTTTTTCAGAAAGACAAACAATACAAAAAATTTTCTCATTCTTTTCAATTTTTTTCTGTGATGCATGTAACATGTCCCTCCGAACATTTCTTTCAATTCCCTTACGCTTCCGCCGTCCATCAAATGGTTTCTTCCTATAAATTTTCGTGTAAATAAGAAATCAATGTGATAACGAATAAGAATAATGTAAAGAATAAGAATATAATAAGAGAAAGAATGAAGAAAAAGCGACTGTTCTATTTTTGATAGAGAAGTGTAGAAATTCTGAAAATTGTTATTTTTAATTTATTGATGTTTTCAACGCATTTCCAGTTGCTTCTAATTGTATCAATATGTACAAAAATATGAAAATGAATGTTACCTGTTTATAAATGTGATGCAATGACAAATAAAGCATTTTTGAGAGGAAGGAAAAATGAAATTAAACACACGATAAATATTTTTCATGCACTTTCCTATATTTCATGATCCTTTTAAATTTTTTCTGTTACTCATAATTTCCAGTATCCTTGATACATTTGAGTTATACTTGCACATAACTAGACAATATAAAAGATTCATCAGTTCTATTTTATACGTCAATAAATTATTATTCAATCAGCGTTATTTATACATGAAAAATTCCCTTCAAATTTGTCTCGTCGATTTTGCAAATTAATTCACTGATCATCAACAACTCGAAAATAAGTGCGCGATTTTAGTCATCATTATTCGCCAAAGCTCAATTTATGGTGAAAAAAAATGTACTAAAAAAATTCTCTCGTGGATTCAGAATGCTTTTATTCGTCTAGACGTATTAAATAATAATTATAGAGTACAAACATTATCCATTTGTACACCCAAGCAAATTTATTCTACATAATTATACCGCCACAGGCACATACAGAAGGAAGAAAAAAAATGGTTTTACGCAGCATGAAAATTTCTCTCAAGCAATTTCATTGAGGCAACATTTAACTCTCATTTTTTCCGCAAAAATGACTCAAATAATTTCTTATGTACACTAAGACCAATAAATACCAATGTTATTACTTCTAGGTACATAATCATCAATTTCCTGGGAAAATATTTATATTACTATCTAAATAATGTTAAACAACTCAACGGTATCGAGTCAAATTTGAAAATTCTCATCCTTCATTTTCGTCCATTCGTTCGGATCCTATGAATTCACTTCGATTTCTCAACTATCAAGATAGCTCATAATTATCTCTTAGATATTTTGTTGATTCACATATCGTTATTAGACAGTGAACAAATAATTTTAGTTTATAGGCAGCAATAATTCGACATTGCTATAACACTCCTGTCAATTCCCTATTGTTTCGTTCAGTTTTACGGTTTACGATTTTTTATTCAACAATTAAACGCCATGGGATTTCATAATTGAGTAATTTTATTCGTATGATTTTGCAATGCAATTATTATGATTTAATGTCTGAAATTTATTTTCTCCTCTATATCCTTTTTATATAGATCGTTTAAAAGGCGTTTTTATCTGTCACAGACCCTCTAGATTTTCGCAATTTTTTTCATGCGAGAAAATTGAATAGCGAAATACCTTCGGCATGACAAAATTCGATTCAAATATGTAAAAGTTAATAATTTCTACCCCTAACACGTAAGAAGAAATTCGATAGAAAAACCAAGCTGAATTTCTATTGCAATTCTATTCGTTTTATTACTATTTCTATTGAAAATGTTTCATAGAAAAATTCCCATGGAAAACGTAACAGAATAATTTACATTCAATGTGTAATTAAAGAATCACAGGGTAAAATCATGCAATTCCCAATCGAAATAGGAAGAAACGAGTAGAATTCGCATAGAAATTCAATACGCGATTTTCAACGAAATGCTGCAGAATGTCCATTCATTTCTTTTATACTTCAAACTTTGCACTTTTTTTCATGAATCTACAACACAACAATTCCCGGATGAAAAATTTGATAGAAATCTTTGAATACCAATTGACCCGTACGATTTTCTAAAAGATTTTTAATTGAAAAAAACCTCAATAGACGTCGATTTTTCTATACGAATTCATGGGCCTGAATTTTACTGAATTTATTTGATTCTTGTACCCAAGAATGTCTACAGAAAAAATCATTAAATAATTCATACAGAAAAATCGAAATCTATTACTAAATTTTTGTGTGAAATTCTGGGAGAACTCTAATGGAGTTTTTCCCCAAGATCCCAGATTTTTCAATGAAATTTCTCCATACGTGTCAGTCTCCCTTCAATTGAATACCTAAAGTCTATGCATGCTCTTCAATGATAACTGCATTCTTCAATATCCTCCAGTTATTCAGTCAGATATCGATTAATTTAGGCAGCAGCTTCCTCCACAACGTGATTCTCATGCACCACACTTTCGACTTTAGTGATTGCAGTTTCACCAACGGTAATGTCAACACTAGTGGCCACTTTCTCATCATTAATAACAACATTTGTTAATTTATCTGTCTCTGGTGCCTCAACAACAGCTTCAACTCTCTCAACTTCTACCTCTGAAATCTCGGGACTCTTTGCATTCCCTTCGATAACAGCTGTTTCTTTGCTTTCTGATTGTGTAACGTGATCTGGGGGAGAATCATAGCCCTCCAGCTGTGAATTTTCGAATGTTTCCGGTGGAAATTTCTGTTTGAGGTCTGTGGGGTCGATCGTGGGGTCCTCGAAGGATTGGATATTACTCGTTGGGTTCTGTTGAGTCTGGGTGATGCTCCTTCCTCTGCCCCTGCTTCCCTGGTGATACTGGCTATTGTCAGGAGGTGGAAGAATCGGTATTGCTGCCTTTGGCCGGCGCACGGGGGCTGCCTGCTGCTGCTGTGGGGGCTGCTGTGCTGGATTGTAGTAGGTACAGCCTTGGGGCTGGAACAATTCTGGTGGAGGTGGAGGACCCTGTGGCTGCAACGAAATAATTACCAATGATAGTAATTTACAATCGATGATAATGATTCGAATAATATTAACTTAAAACTCATCATGTGAACAATGTATTCATTATTTCACGCGTAAAAAAATCAATAGAAAAACTTAATGCTTCCTTTAAGAAATTGTAATGAAGTTCTATGATAATTCTATTGGGAAATTCTATTTGTTTTTGTTTCTGAATGGAACCTTTACAATCGTTCAAATTTAGGTTTTAGATTTTTTGGGTTATATCGACCCAGTTTGATCCAAAAAATCAGAAAATGGAATTTCAAAGTTTTTCTTCAATTGTTCGCTAATGACTGGATAGAATTGCGGAAAAAATTTACAAAATTTATGGTTAAAAATTTCTACAGAAAAATTAAAATCAATTGACTTTTTCTACCAAACATCTCTTAATATGACGCAATAAAGTTGTATAATCTTCAATAGAATTGATACAAAAAACTAATAGAACTATTTAATAAAATTTTTAAAGAACTTCAGCAGAATTCATTAACAAAGGCGCTAAATTATTCTACTAAATATTCTCATTTACTAATTATTAAGAGTGGGAGATTAACTGATACTAATGACTCCATTTCATTACTTTAGGATTGTCGGTCTCGACTGTTTCATTTTGTATATTGAAGAGAATGCTATATTTCTATTCACTGAGCAGAAACCTCTCCCAATCTTGTTCGTTCACTGAGTGGTGGAGATAACTAAAAAAATGGCCAACAATAGCTTTATAATTGGAGTGAATCCCAATGAGAGTGGGATTGTAAACAGCACGGATTTTATGAAACTATGTCCTGAGCAATCAACTAATGAATTACTCCATTATTAATTCCATACGCCCTCCCTGAGATTTTTCATATTGTTTCAACGCCTTCGTATTTTGTGATTTTGCACCGCATTTTCTTCTATCGCGTATCATTTACCGTTTTATATTATTTTGTTCAATTGAATTATATTTCTTCTTTAATCAATCGTTTTAGATTTCTTTTAAAAATTGCTGTATAAATCAAATGAAAGAATGATGCAACGTATTATTTTGAAACTTTAATAAAATGGTATTAGGAAAACTTTTAATGTATAATTGATCGATTTTGAAACATCACATTTGAAAAAAAATCGTCGAAAATGTCACTTTCAGGGAAATTTTTTAAATTTTTGACCAAGTTTTTTGAAACATCGATTCAAAATTGCAAAAAAATTCCAACGCTACTTCGATAGTAAAATTCTTTTAGACTTCCAGTAAAACTCAATAGAATTTCCTAGCGAAAGCTCCAGATTTTATATCGAATGCATGCACGTACTTATTTTATTACCCCCAAAACTGAACTATTTACCTGAACATTAGGATTATATCCCTGATACCCCTGGAAATTAGGTTGAAATGGTGGGCCGTTTGGTGCTGAGACGTAATTTATGATATTGGGTGGTGCTGTTTGCGATGGGATAAACTGCGGTGGTGGTACTAAAAAGGGTGGAGGTGCATATGGAGCTGGCTGGCCACCTGGTGGCAATGGCATCACTGGCTGTCCACCCATGGGAGCAACAGTCGTTGGTACAGGCGGTGGTTGCTCGTAGTGTCCTTGTGGGTAAGCTAGAATCATTAAGTACCCATAAAACACTTTATAAGACTCTCGTTTGCATCACAAACGTGGGAAAACCCCATTCTCTGTAATAGAGACTAATTTTTCCAGAGTTGGGCACTATTTCATGAAAATCATGCTGAATTACTGTTTGAAATTGTTGTTTCAAGTTGATTATTATTTTTGCTAAATAAATCGTATCTATTTATCATCCTTTTCTTTATCATTATTTATGTTATAAAATTTATTTTTATTTTTATTAATTTTATAAAATTTAATCTTTAATCAGAGAAAGTATTCGAATTGTTTGATGACTGTGAAGTACCAATTCGTTATAAATACATCAAATAATAATTCAAATAGTATTCCACCCAGTTCTGCAATTTTTTTTTTCGATGCATTGAACGAATCAATGAGCAAGCGCAGAAAACAAAACAATGGGAACACAGTAAATAAATTGTTTGGGCGACAATTGCCCTTACCTTGGGAGTCTAGTACACCGTGCGTATTTCCAGCTAGATAATTGTGCATAATAAGAGTGGTATTAATTAAAAAAAAAACAACGGAAAATATTTAATTCAAAGTCATGTTTTTAGGATGTATCTTACATTGGATGAGAGTATGAGGAATTAAATGCGAGGGAAATTACTAGTTAGCTGGCAGTGGTTATAATCAATAAGAAACTTGCGTATTTAATTACGAAAGAGGGATAATTGTCGGATACATTGAATTTCAAAAGATAAATTCGTTCACTCGACCGAATGTGTAATTGCATTCTTGCATGAAATTTTTTGGTTCTATGAAACGACCAAATAGGAAAATTGAATGGATTTTCCACTGAATGGAAAATGTTAGGTACATGTTTCTCCATTTTAGAAATTCATGAAACAATTGGACGTTACAGTCAATTTAAAAAAAGTCTGCATTAGACGTGCCAATACTTTCATTTATTTTTTTCATCATTTATCGAAATGAAAAAATACACGTCTCATATTTTTCATTCAATTCTCACATTCAGCAAGGAAATGATTTAATACAAAACCCCTATAAAAATGGATGTACATAATTATATTCCTGATTGTAACTCGAATTTATCATTTGAAAGTTCCAATGAAAACACTGACATTCCAAGCTTACGTAGATAGTTGAATAAAATCACTAAATTAAGAATGGATGGACGTGGCACCGCATTTTCAACTTCGTTCGAATAAAGGTAATTTATTTCGAAAAGAAAATAAATAAATAAATAAAATAGCTTCTTAATTCATGTGAAAACTCATAAAAAAATTGAATATCTTCTCCCGTTAAACGTAAAAAGTTTTACATTCTCATCATTATATTGTACGCAGATATTTTTTAACCCTTGTTATTAAATAATTCGATTTTCTCCCAAAGGAGCTTCCTAGATGCTCCAGATTGCTGTGAATTTTAATGTAGAATGAAGTATATCCAATTAAATTTTTATGTATTCTCATCGCCATTTTTCTGTAATGACGATACATTTTCAACTATTATAGGAGGACAAATTAGTTCAATTAATGAAGGGAATTTTTGGTTTAGTGAATGTGGAGGTAATCTTACCTTGTGGTGGATAATACCCATGCTGATTATGCTGGGCATGCTGCTGTGGGTATGTCGGCTGTACAGGCCCCTCCGGCATAACTGGTCTCTGTCGAAGACTCGAATATCGTTTTGGTCGATTACCAGCAACATCAGGCAGTGATTGAGGATGAGCTTGTTGCTGAACTGAAGGCTGTTGGGGTGGTGGTTGTTGCATCCGTGGTGGAGGGACGTTTGGACGCTGCTGATTCGATGGTGGTGCATAAAAATTTCCTGAAAAACCAACTATTATGTTATTCTCTTGGAGACCTTCGTCACGATCAAATAATTCAGTGCAAATTATCGCCCCAAATTGTCACAAGACATTTCATCACCTACTATTGCTGTTTACATATGTATATTGTCTGACGAAAAATCTCAAGATATTTTGATAAATAATGATTCAAAAAGTAACAATTCAACAAATGCCAAATTCAACCAATTATTGCAAAAAATCCCATTATTGCCCCAATCAATGATAATTTGTGCTCATCAACATGTGAATGTTCCAAAACATTCATTAACAATTCCCCACATGGGGCAAACAATAACAATGGGGAGAGTGGAATAAAATGAAATAGTAGAAAAACGACTGTTCGACGCATTTCAAGCAGAAAAAATTTTTTTATTAAATTTTTTCTATCAACTTTTGTTTATCAATTTTTTTTTTATTCTTGGGAGTACTGATGAGAATAATAATTTTAAAAGTAAAATGTGATGCTGAATTTCAATCGAATGAAAGAAGAAGTGTAATCAATTATCGATTATGCAAACAGCGACACAGTAATGATGAATAATGTTATATAATGAATTGTCAGTGTAATATTTTAACGTAAAAAGAATTTAAAAATATCTTCTTTCAACTTACGGCTTGGCCTTCCTTGATGATGATAGCCACTTCCATCATTAACAGTCATATGCTTGATATCATTGACAATTTGTTCCTCATCAAGACTCGAATTATTCCTTCGTATATTGTCATTATTAATAACACCACCTCCACGACCCTTCGGTCCCTTATTCTCCACTGTTCTATTCGCAATGACATTATTATTGCCACTTGGTTTAAATCCACGTCCTCTGGCTCTACTCGCTGCCAAACTAACGGACTCCTGAACCTGTCTCTTATTCGCGTGATTCTGTTTAACGTAAACAATTTTTTCAGGCTCAACGTGGGGTATATTCCTACTGGGGCTGAGACTCTGGCTCGTATATTTCGCATCCTTCTTCCAGGCTGGATTTGTGGGCTCATTTGGAGCTTTATTTTCGTTCCTAAAAATAAATATTATCTTTATGATTTTTTCGTTATTTTTATTACGGTTTCACAGAAAAAATTGTCAAGAGTTTTCATAATTACGTGAGATCGTTCTGGGCACCGGTTGATTTATTCTTCTGATTATCCTGCTGGGGCTGGAGTGGTGGAAAATTCGGTTGCTTTGTTTGAGATTTATTTTTATTAGTGTACCATGCAGATGAGATGACAGGCTCCTCAGGAGTTTCCGGTTCATCCTGAGAATCGAACAAAGGGTTAACAGATGGAGCTATTCAAACATTACATTACAGAAACTGTCACATGGCAACGGGTTTTTATTTTTTAACTATCAATTTATTTGAAAACAATGGTTTTCATTTACTTACAGAAATATCAATCCCAAATAATGTAAAAGAGTATTAAATATAAATACTTAATGTTGTGATTTGACGAAGTATGAAAACAAAATAATTATTTGACCCTCATTAAAGACCGAAACGCTTCTAGTGGCATTGACTGTGCCATTGACAGTACTTTTAATGATTTATAGAATTGGAATAATTATTCTGCTTGTCCTTGGAGGGCAGTTGACTCCAGAGCAGGAATAAAAGGTTTTTAATCAATCAATTTAATTATTACCTTGAATCCTCTCAGGGCAGGAAATTCTTCTCCACCTCTGTTGGACCTTCTGTTATGCTTCGTAGAAGTATTATTTCCACTAGTTTTCCCATAGGCGTCTTCGTCCTCCCAATTACGAGTGTATTTGTTGGGTCCACGTCTGTCGAAACATCCAACATGATCAAAGTATATAAAATAATCAACAGTGAATCAGTGGCGAAGTGGTAAATCGCTCAAGTCGATTTTGACTATTGACCAGTTTTCTACGAATACCTTGGAATCTAAGGGAGATAGCGAAATTTTTGCTAAGACCTTTTTTGTAGCTCACATTTTTTTCTACAAAAAAGTTTATCATAAAAATTTTGTTATCTCCCTTAGATTCGGAGTTATTCCTCGATAACTCAGGTGAAAGCAAAGTGGCACGAATTGAAAGAAAAATTATTATATTGTGAGTATTGTGAGCTAGATAACGAAATTTTCGTAATAACCTTTTTTGTAGCTCACAATTTGTTCTACAAAAAATGTCGTTACGAAAATTGCGTTATCTCCCGTAGATTCGGAGATAGTCCTCGAAAACTCAGGTGAGAGCCAAGTAGAATGAATTGAAAGGAAATAATCAATGTCTCACCCATATCTTCTTCGTCTTCTAGCCCTTGGTGGGCCCTCCTCATTCCTTATATCGTACCCATAGACAGCAATGAGCTCCTCGTGACTCTTAGGAGCCTGCTCCTCATCGTTGTACCTGTCGTGATCCCATCTGTCCTCCTTCTCCCTCCAAACTTTCTTCTCCTTATTGTCTCTCTCCGGTGGCTGTTCAACTGTACTCTCAGTTGCCTCCTCAGCTGTTCTGTCATCGTGCTCGTAAAATGTTCCACGCTTTGGTATATACTGCGGGTTTCGTCTGTCCTCATCATCATCAAGTTTCTTCTGAGGTTTATCCTCCTCTTGGCCATCACCACTCTCCCGCTGTCCACCGTCTTGAGAACCACCCTCTGACTCTCCATCACTGCCAGCTGTGTCATACTCCGAATCGTGATGAACCTCTATCTGCTCGCTACTCTGTAAATTCATTATTTTGCGGATGTGGAGATTTCTCTCAGTATAGTGCCCCACTCACCCCTAACTCGTAACAAATGCCCATTTAACGAGAGTAAATCAAGACAAGTCTTCAGCAAAATCCATTCTTCAATACTAAATGACTTCTTCGATCAGTGATAGGGCGTTGCCTATGCGCAATTTACCACTCCTATTCTAAATCACCTTTAATAACAGACTGCCATGAATTCAAGCTGAGAATCTCTTTCCCTAAGAATTCATATATCCACGGATTAATGATACTTTCCCTGTGAAAATTACCATTTTCTGATATTCCCAAAATATCAGGGACTCTGGGAAGAATTCTGAATTCGGAGAAGCCTCGGAGAAGTTGACAATACAACTTCAATACAAATAAGACCCTAATCTTTGTTTATGTAATAGGAGCTCCTATTACACTCTGTTGCGTTTGTCTGAGGCAGGTTAAATTATTTCCACAAGTCATTGTGTGATTCACCAGCGATGAGTGTCAATTATACGATAAAATAGAGTTATCAATAGATTTACATACGAAGAAGGTTCATAGAAAAACCCTGTGAATTCGCTCGGCTGGAATTTTCGACTTTTTTTTTCATCTGACTTTTATAATGACTAGGGCATATTGCGCACTCCACGCGATGAAGCTGAAACTAGCGAAAGATTCGACAGCAGAAGATTCGTCTTAGGCGAATCTAGGGGTGTACAAATGTTTTTAAGTAATGTACAAACTCTTTCGCACTTAAAAAACATTTGGACATATCATTATTTGATTCTCCTACACTTAAATATCCCCTAAATTGAATTTTTCGCTGACGAATATTCTGCTAGTTTCAGCTTTATCTCCACGCGCTATGAAGATACCCATTGGACCTTGTAGTTTTTTTTGCCATAAGAAATATATTCATTTCTCATAAAGTTATATTCATATTCATTCCATATTGAAATTTACCAAATTAGCCAGGGCACAGACGATGTAATTTGCTACAGAAATCGAAAAATAATCAATGATCAACCCATTCGAAACGATAATTGAGAGTAAAGAGTGATGTAGTCAATATTTTTAATGATTTCTAAGTTTACGGTACTTTTTTTTTCTAGTGTTTGTTGAGAATAACTTAACTTCAACTTTTAACGTTATTTATTGCAAGAAACATACATTCTTACAAATGACCATTGCTCGAGGACCTTCAGGCTAGAATACACTTATTTTTTACAGTATTAAATCAGTAGCGAAGTAGTAAAACGGTTTAAGTCGACTTATCTCCCAGTTGAGTTTTTGAGGAATATTTCCGAATCTAACGGAGATAGCGAAATTTTTGTAATTACCTTTTTCTCAGGTCTCAATCCGCTCTACCAAAAAGGTTATATAAAAAATTTTGCTATCTCCCTTGGATCCCGAGATATTCATTGAAAACTGGCTAATGATGAGACTCAACTTTTGAAAACTGGCTAATGATGAGACTCAACTTTCGAAAATCCTCGAGTCGTTTCATCTCGAAAATCATTTCGAAAAAAATGCGCTGATGGTACATTTTTTTTCGAGGTAAGAGATGAGTAGGATAAAATGTTCAGAATATTTTCATTTTTTAACAGTTGAAATTCCGTAAGTATAGCTATACTTATGGTTATAGAAATAATTTTTATTTATCGTTCTTTATAGACAGGCTACCTACAGTTCATAGTTAATAGTATAGTTAATTTAACTCTATTCATATAGTTATGTCTACGATAATACCCATGAATAATTAAATGACATGGATTTTTTTAAAGGGAAAAGAGAAGAAAAATATAGAGTTTAAAAGACTTGAAAAATTCATGTCGAAGAATTCGCATAGAAAATACCAAAAAAAGGATTTCTTATGAATCAGTTTTTTCCATGAAATTTTTCGTAGGGGAGGGCGGGGTAAAACGGACACTTTAAACTTTTTTAAAATTATCCATAACTCAGAAACAAATTGATCAATTGAGCTCAGTCTAGGGTTGTCACAAAGGGAAAGAATTGTTCTTTCTATTGAAACAAAATTATTAAATTTTATCAACATTTCAACTCCTTATTAACATTTTTAAAAAAGTCGAAAGTGTCCGTATTACCCCAACCTCCCCTACGTGATCGACAGCAAAAGTTATAGTAGGGGAGAGTGGAGTAAAATGGACACTTTAGACTTTTGTTTTAATTACTCATAACTCAGAAACAAATTTATCAATTGAGCTCAGTTTAGGCTCATTACAAAGGGAAAGAATTATTCTTTGCAATGAAAAAAAAAAGACACTTTATCAACATTTTAACCCGTCGTTAACATTTAAAAAAAAGTCAAATGTGTCGATTTTACCCCAACCTCCCCTACTCAAATGCTTCTTGCATTACTCCTCTAGCCCTCTAAATTCTAATCACAAATTCCATCGAAACTCCCCAATGTGCCTTAATTCGTATACATTGAGTGTTTCGAAATGCATTCTCAAAGCTCCAAAATCTCTACCAACAAACACTTCTTTAATCATTCTCACAAGATTAATAAAAATCATGCATCAAGCTCCCACTCCAAAAACCAACAAATTACTTTCGATCCCGCTCCGTCGACCTCGATCGCCTTACATTTGACATTTGACATCGTTCGACGGTCTCTCATCTATCCACAGAAACGGAGCAAAGATTACAAAGCTATATAATCTCCAAAAAAAATAGTAATCGATCAATCCATTGAAAGGAACGCCCCGAGAACCTCATAAAATACTTCAACAATACCAGAGAAGACTCGACCGATTAAAAATCATGAAGACTATTTGTCTACTGTTAGAAAAATTATCTTTCCAACAGACTGCCGGCGACGTCCCTCCATTCCACTTCAAGATTCCGATGACCCTAACCTTCGCAGTGAATAATTTCCTCGACTCAAAAAAAAAAAAATAACTGAATAAACTCGACTCCTTATCATGAATAAAACAAGCATAAACGAAAGATCCCGTAAATGACCTCGATCTCGTTAATAAGATTGAAGGAAAAATCACCGGTAGAGATTATCGTGCTCCAGATTAATCGAAAACGCCTACAGTCCGCGTGACAGACTCCAAAATAAATTCCCAGTAAATTTATAATTTTGGATGGAGTGTTCACTGCGATTGAGAGTTGCTTACCTGGGTTTCCTTGGTTGCATTGAGCTCCTCGTAAGACTCCGACAGGTCTTCAGACCCTCCTGACTGGTCTGACTTCCTTCTGCGACGTGTATCAGACATTTTAATTGCTCCAAAAATTTTGAAACTACCCAACGATTATTTATTACTCATTCAAGTAATTATTTCTCCATGCAATATTGAAATTGCACCGTTATGACAACGTGAGCCACTGGACTCCTTCGATCTGATTTTTTTTTGGGAATTTGGGGCTTCGGACTGACCGAATACTCGCGAATTTGTGGTAGTGTAGAACGTCGAGCCACTACTAGGCGATTTACATTGAACCCACGTAAAAACGATGCCACCGCTCAATGTTGACGACTTTTGAAACTAAGTTTTCAGGCATTTTTTTCGTTTTGGAGTATTTATTGGAGTAATTGAGGTTCTGGGAGGCTTCGGTGAGATTTTGGAAGGCTCAGAGGGATTTTACTATTTTTTTCATCATCGAACATTCCATTGTTCAATTTCGAATGTCATAACAATGTTGTGATTGTTTGTTGTTATTTTGGGTAACGAACGTGATGAGTCAATGATCTGCTTTGGTAATCGTCGGTAAGGAAGGGAATCTGCAGCCGCGAGAGGGCGCTACGTGTGCGGGGAGAGGAGCACCGCGAAAATTTTAAAATTGGCGGTCGACTTTTTAAAACGTTTGTAGGGTGTGCGTAAAGGCGAGAGGTCGTGTGTAAATAGTAGGGGAGGTTGGGGTAAAACGGACACTTTTGATTTTTTTTTTAATGTTAATGAGGGGTTGAAATGTTGATAAAATTTAATAATTTTTTTTTCAATACAAAGAACAATTCTTTCCCTTTCTGACGAGCCTAAACTGAGCTCAATTGATCAATTTGTTAATGAGTTTTGAATAATTTTAAAAAAGTCTAAAGTGTCCGTTTTACCCCACCCGCCCCTATATTTCGATACAAGTGCGGAAAAGTGTTTTTTGGCTCGTGGGAGGTTTATAGCACGAGCCGAGGGCAAAAAACACTCATCTCATGAGTATCGAACGATATTTTTCATCATGATGTGTGAAAAGTGGGATTTTGCGCACGCAAGACTTGCGCAAAATTTAACTTTATGCACAAGTGATGAAAAGAAATTTTTGTGATACCTGGCTCAAAAGTGCACTTTTCGAAACAGTTGAGGGCGTGTAAATCGGTTGTTTTCCGCACGGCGTGCGTGAAGTTCACAATAATGCGTAAAGGGAATTTCGAGTGCGTAAAGTGAAGAATTATTTATCCTAGGGAAAGAGTAAAATTCACGACAGTGCGTAAAGTGAATTCTTCACTTTACGTAAAAAAACTACCACATTATCCTACTACCATTCTAAACAGTGAACTCGGTTGGCAATACAAAATAGTATATTTCGTTTCGAGTGCGGAAACGAGTTTTTTGGCTCGTCAGCCAAAAAACACTTTTCCCACGAGTATCGAACGATATTTTTCATCACAATGTGTGGAAAAGGGACGTTTTAGGCACGCGAGGCGTAGCAAAAAAGTTACTTTTTCGCACAGCGTAATAAAAAATAGGATATATTACATGTGCGTGTGAACCAGTGGAATTTTACGCACGTAACATAATATACTATTTTGTGATGCCTGTCTCAAAAGTGCACTTTTCGAAACGGTTTAGTGTGCGTAAAGCGTTTGTTTTCCGCATAGCATGCGTAAATTTCACGAGAGTGCGTAAAGCGAAGAATTCACTTTACGCACTCAAAATTCACTTTACGCACGCTCTTGAACTTTACGCACTCGGGCACAAAAACGGCCACATTACCCCCACTACCGTTTCAAACCCTGAATTCGGCAGTTACCACAAAAAATAGAATACGTTACAAGTGCGGGTGAAACAGTGAAACTTTTCGCACTAGTAACACAATATACTATCTCGTGTGTATATTGTATAAAGAAAGCCTCATTGGATTCTAATCCCACTTCAGACACTAATCTAAAATGAAAGCCTTTTCGTAATGAATAATAACTTTATTGACAGAATTTGGAATGGAATAGATAAGAAATTGAATATTAAAAGTGAAACTTCACTTTTATATAAAGGCCTCATTCCTCTCTCATATACGTAGAGGGAACTCCACATTCATTTATATGCGGTTCGGACCCTTAATAATGCGAGCACTACCATATTCTGACTAAAATTGAAAGAATAAATTTTACCCTAGGATTATTTGTTTAACAAGGCTTGGCACAACTAAACCTAAACCATTTTATTTTTGCAATTGAATTAATTATTTTCACAAATAAAACGACCAATACATATTCATTTTTCATTGTGCACTGTTAGAACTTTTTTTAAATTTCCTGGAAGATATTATAAATTATAATATAATATATAAATTATAAAAATTTGTAAATAATACTATTATAAATATCTAAGTTATTGAATCTCATGAGAGTGACATTGAGTCGAATTTGGGGAAAAAATGATTATGATATTTCAAATTTTAAGTAGAATTCACGGAAGTTCATGAGTTTTCACGGGAGTGAGATGGAAATTTCAGAATTTGATTGACTTTTTAGTGGAACATAAATATTCAGAAACAAAATTACATGAATTTTCAAATTTGCCCTGATTTTTCTGAATTTTCACAGAATAATTGAACTGAAAAATCAATTATTTTATTAATTTCCAGATCATTTGAACGGAAAATCAATGGAATATTTGATTTCTTAATGACAAGATTCCCTGACATTTCATTGAAACTTGAACCCGATAAAAATTTCCGGAATTTGGCGCGGAAAATTTTTAAGTGTGGCAACTCAGATTACCCTGCCGAACCTGCACTGCATGCGCGTGCGTAAAGTGTCACTTCACACACAGCAGGCAGAATAAAAAATTTCTCCCTTGTTCATTCGCATGAAGTAAAGATGATAAATCTAGTTATTCAAATTTACACCAGTTATTGCACTTTGGCTGCAAAACTCAAATGCTTTCCTTTCGATTAAAGTACTTTATTCTCACGGTCATTGATCTAAAAATCTCCCGTAAGTGAAATTATCATTCCACTGTGGGAAAATTATATTACCAACTCTTTCTCCTTCAGGGAGTTGAAGAGGACCAGTAAAAAGTGGGGAGACGTGTGTCAGTTTGAAAGTGCGAGCCGCCGAGAAAGGTACACCGCTAATCTCGGCCGCGTTTTAACAGCCATGAGGTGCACCATCCCACTACATAAAGTGCCAACTGTAGCAGCAATCCTCAATGCCGGTAAAGTAATTGTCATCACTATCTTCAATTATTCAGACCAGTGAAATTAATTATTCCCACACAACTTGACAAATTATTGGTAAAGAAATTTATATTTTGATAAATGAGATAAAAAAACCGGCAACGTCGTAAATTTCACTTCCTTTCTTTAGAGAAGTGAAAACACTCGTCAATGAGTATATGAAATTTTCTTTCGTCTTTCATCGATGTCTTAAAAGTTCAACTTGTTAGATCAATTTTTTTTCGTAACATTATTCACCCTCGGGCAACACTTCAAGCGGCAATCGCGTGGAAATTATTTCGGTGAAAGTTATCGTAAAAAAGTGCTTTTTCGCGAGGGCAACTTGTCTTCATTTTATAGCTCCTCAAATTCATCAATTCTTACATGATAATTTTTTCCGATTATATTCCAGTTGTTCTGGTTGTCGGGGGAAGAGAAACGAACGATGCGGCTTGTATCGAGGACAACAAATTTTACAGAAATCCTAATACACCTGCGCACAGCGTTTGGGCGCCAATTGAATGCGCCAAATATTTTTTGTGTTTAGGTAATTTTTTAACGTCTTTTCCTCATTCATCGTAAGATTTCAATGAAATTTTTTCAAGTATTTCAATGAAAAATTAAATTCAATTGAGCAATAATTATAATAACGATATGAGAGAGAAAAATAATCTTTTCATTTCTACCGCAAGAACAAGTTTTTATGCAATCCTCATTAACAATAATTTTCCTTCATCAAATTGAGAACTGAAACTCACACGATTCGAAGAATTCGCAATTTCCCATATTACCATTGTTGCAATCTTATTTGCAGACAATGAGGTATTCGCGTTCAAATGCTCGGAGGGACTCCTCTTCGATGTTACCAGGCAGATATGTGATTTTAAAGCTAATGTTGACAATTGCGACGTGACAGCAGGTAATAAAACGCGACTGAAATTAATGGCGTTGTGAAATTTTATCGAAGGTGTGATTGGCATACTTTAGGCAGGGTAAAATTTCATATTAAAACAAGTTTCAACTCTCAGATGTACAACCACCGAGGCCTTTGCTTGAGAATGGAGATTGTGATGGTGGAAGTTTGGCATGTGGAGATGGCACTTGCTTACCAAATATTTATTTCTGCGATGGGACTGTCGATTGTCCTGATGGATCTGATGAAGCGTGGTGTGGTAAGGCAGCACGGACTAAAAAATTTAATACAAAAACCTATCGAATTCGTTAGAAAATTCTATTGAATTTCTATTGAACGGTTCTATTAGTTTTTGGCTGATTCTATTAAAATGTTCAATAGAAAATATTCAGTAGAAAAAGTCAATAGAATTCAATTTTTCTATATAACTTATTCTATCGAGATATTTTCTATAGAATTTCCTCGGCTCAAATTTGCCAAGTTTTTTCGTTTGATTTTCTTGATGAGAAGAAAAGAAAAATAGAACGAAAAAAACTTGGAAAATTTGAGTCGTTGCGAACAGGTGACGAAATAGTATATTTCATTACAAGTGCGTAACGAAGTACTTTTCCGCACGCACGAGTAACGAAGAAATTTTTCACGGTGAAAAGTGCCGAGTTCCCATGAATCGCGGGACATTTTATTGATGGAGAAAAATCAACGCGTTAATATTATCGTCTCTTCCAGATAATCAGAATGACCCAAATGCCGCTTTCCCCTGTGACCCTGAAAAATGTTCACTCCCAAATTGTTGGTGTTCTCACGATGGAAAACAAATTCCCGGCAATTTGACAATATCCAATGTCCCCCAGATGATAACAATCACCTTCGACGACGCTGTGAATGCTGAGAACTTTGACCTCTACACCAGTGAGTACACAAGAGTTTCACTTTCTCAATGCGACAATGGAAATTGATCAAAACCTTTGATATTTCGAAACAGAGCTGTTTAATGATGACAGGAAGAACCCCAATGGTTGCCCTATACGCGCTACTTTCTATGTCAGCCACCAGTACACGAATTATCGAGATGTTCAGTATTTGTGGAACGGGGGGCATGAAATTGCTGCGCACTCTGTGACGTGAGTAAAAATAGTATTCAATTATATGAGATGGGAAATTAGAAAATCATTACACTATACTAATGCATAGTCAATGAGCAACGTTTCGCTTAATATTTAAGCTTCCTCAGGCTCTTCACGAGTTAAAGTATAGCAGAGACTTCGTATAAGACACCTCTCTATAAGATACCTCGCGCTCTGAGCGCTCGAGGCTAATATTCAGAAAATATCTTTTCGAAAAGGAATATAAAACAAAGATTTGTATAATCTAGGATCTTAAGCAGAGATTATCCTTGTTCCTAGGCTTATGTTTATCCCTGGCGGAATAAATTGCTGACAAAAACGGTGACACCATTTTTTTAATAGAGGAACTTTTCGTGGGTTTCGCGATCCCCTGACCGCTCAACCAAAGGGTTCGATAGGACCGACCGTTTAACTGATAGATATGAAGGGTTTTTTTTATTTAAGTATGTATTACACCCTTTTCGCCAAAATTCACGTTTTTTGAATTTTTCTGGCAAATTGTTGATCGGATTGACGTGAAAAAATATACTGTTTTTGCGTTTTATCATTACTTAATCACTCACGAAATTTCATAATTGTGCAATCATTTTTCTGCGTTTTTCCTAAAACTTTTGGGAAATTCACAAAACTTTAGAAAAAATGCAGGAAAACGATTGCACTACCGTGAAACTTCGTGAGTCATTCAATAATAATAAAACGCAAAAACTGTATATTATTTCGCCTCAATCCGATCAATAATTGGCCAGAAAAATGAAAAAAACGTGAATTTTCGCCGAAAGGGTGTAGCACATCCTTAATCATCCAAACCGTATGGTTTATTCTGCTATAAAAAAATTACAAAAATACAAATGTGTTTACAAAATAATTCTTTAGGAACTATTCGTAACGATTTACATCACTTCTTCAAATCTTCAATTCTGAGGAGTTCAAGAAGGAATCAATATGTTTGAGAATAGTTCTATTCAATTTCTTTAAGAAGACTGATTTCATAGGGTGGGAGGAAGATATGAAGGTTGTTATGAAAATTTCTCCATCTTCCTTAAATTCGGAGATATTCCTCGAAAATTCAGCTGAGCAAATTCATCTTAAATCCTTTTACCGCTTTGCTACTGCGTTGTCTTTCGACCCGAAAATTATCCTTCGATTGATTTCCAGACATCGTGGACCAGAGGCGTGGTGGTCCCACAACGCCACAATCGAGGATTGGTTCGATGAGATGGTCGGACTATCCAATATTCTCAACAAGTTCGCCGCAGTGCGCTTGGAGGACATCAAAGGCTTGAGAGCTCCATTTCTCCGAGTCGGATGGAACAAACAATTCCTCATGATGTCTGAATTCGGATTTTCGTATGACTCTTCAATGGTCGCGCCCTTCACTGATTCACCATTTTGGCCGTACACTTTGGATTATCAAGCTCCACACGACTGCGTTGGCACTGATCAGAATTGCCCTACTAGGGCCTATCCGGCGGTCTGGGAAGTCCCTTTGAATCAACTTTTAGTTGGGGTAAATAATGAGTGAAGTATCACCGCTCATCAAACAATCCGAAGAAAGAAAACCGAAAAAACTGACGCCCAAGAAATTTTGGGAATTCTTTTGGCTTCCGAAACGACGCATTGAAATAGTTTTTTGGCTTAAAATCCTTGTGCACACTATAACTTTGGAAAAAATCGATATATTAACTTGAAATGTGGCATGAAGTTTCCTCTTATCATAGCAACTGTTCGTATTAAAAATTAGTTGAATGCAACAATCACTTTCGGAGATATTCAACTTTGTATGTAAATCCATCTCATTCAATAACTCGAAAACAACTCAATCGATTCAGCCAATAAGAACCCATTAACTTGCCATCAATTTATTGATGTAATTGTAATCAATTGTTGTCGATTGTGCACAACTTCTCAAGAATTTTACTTTGATTACACAGGATTACACATGCGCTATGATTGAACAGTGCCCGACGAGTTTGACTGGCGAGGAAATTTACAAAATGTTGATGTTAAACTTTAAAAGACATTATCTGACGAATCGAGCGCCGTTCGGTCTGCATTTCAATTCCATGTGGTTCAGGAATCCAACGAATATCTATGCTTTTGAGGTAAAATTGATTTATTCTGTAAACTTCAATCTAATCTCTTTGAAATCGTTCTGACTCATTTTTCTGCCCTTTCTTTCAGAAATTCTTGGATGATATACTTCATCTGTCAGACGTCTACTTCACCACTACCCAACAAGTGATCGAATGGATGAAGAAACCAACGCCAATCGGCGAAATAGCGTCCTTTGAACCTTGGCAATGTAATGCACGTGATTTCGATCCTCACGAGATCGCCTGTCAATTGCCAAATGCCTGTAAACTTTCAAGTCGAGTGCTCAAGTCTTACCGATATTTGAACACCTGTTTCGATTGTCCAAAACAGTATCCATGGGTCAGGAATGAATTTGGAAGGGATTAATATCCCAAGGAAACCCAAGAGGTTCTTGAGTTCATGAAATTAATTAAGAGAAGCCAGAGTAAAATGGACACGCTTCTTCCCCCAATTCGAAGTCACGAATGAAAAAATTTCATACAAATAGCTAGCAGATCGTTTTGTTGAAAGATATTGGATAGAAAAAAATCAATAGATTTAGATTTTTCGAAATAAATAGATAAAAAGTCGGGAGCATTAATTTTGCATATTTTTTCACTGTATTTTGATTTCTCTCACGAATGAAAAAATTTCATACAAATAGCTAGCAGATCGTTTTGTTGAAAGATATTGGATAGAAAAAAATCAATAGATTTAGATTTTTCGAAATAAATAGATAAAAAGTCGGGAGCATTAATTTTGCATATTTTTTCACTGTATTTTGATTTCTCTCACGAATGAAAAAATTTCATACAAATAGCTAGCAGATCGTTTTGTTGAAAGATATTGGATAGAAAAAAATCAATAGATTTAGATTTTTCGAAATAAATAGATAAAAAGTCGGGAGCATTAATTTTGCATATTTTTTCACTGTATTTTGATTTCTCTCACGAATGAAAAAATTTCATACAAATAGCTAGCAGATCGTTTTGTTGAAAGATATTGGATAGAAAAAAATCAATAGATTTAGATTTTTCGAAATAAATAGATAAAAAGTCGGGAGCATTAATTTTGCATATTTTTTCACTGTATTTTGATTTCTCTCATAATGAAATTTAAGGGAAAACAACAGCGAATTTTTGCCGAGGATTTTTTGAAGAAAAATCCCAATAGAATGACTTGTAAAAATAATATCTACTGACTGTTTTCTATTAAAAAAATATCTATTGAACACGCATGGCAAATTTTCGATAGAATTGGAGCAAAAAACAAATAGAATTTCTCAAGAAAATTCTAATAGAACTTAATGGAGGGAGGACAAGGTTTTTTCATTAAAATTTTCCATTCTGTTGACATAATTATCAAGGCGTCCATCTTAGCCAGGCTTCTCTTATAGGCATTAAATTGTTCATGTGTGGTTTTAAGACTGAAGCTCTGATGTAGAAGAAATGATATTTATTCTTTTGCAGAATCGAGATGAAAATCACTGTTTTACGATAGAAAAAAATATTGATACTTATTTACTGATCCCTAACCATTCGATTCAACATTTTTATGGTTGTAAATGACACATATGGGGAACATCTTCCCCAATTAGATCCTCCAGATTTTTATGGATCTATTTACTTTCGAACAGGAATTTTTATAATTGTTTAAGAATTCATTGATCAGTTGACTAGCTATCCTGTTGAATAAATGGATTTTGAATTGATTCCATACCATCGACGGGACAAATTAACACTACTGACGTTCCTCGGCACACCACGAGTCCTAGCATACGTGTGTCCTGGTTCAGTTTGTATGGATCGTCTGGATCTGTGGAAAATCGATAGATAAAGAAACATTATTTGTTTGTCAGTTTTATAGGTAATTTTCACAGCTTCCACCAGCAGAAAGTTTCATCTACCGAATTTTCTAGGAAATTATATTGGATTTCTATTTAACCTCAATTGAAAATTTGAGGATTTTTTTTTCCAATTTTATTGAAAAATCCCGCAGGTTTGCGATGCGTTTTTTTAATTAAAAATGTCCAAAAGACACTTTCTTTTTCATAAATATTCTATTTTTGACTCAATTTCTTTTCTCCTCTCATAAAAAAAAATGTTGAAAAAAAAATCGAAAATTTGAGCCGAGGAATTTCTGCAGGATGTGTCTCAATAGAATAAGTTACATAAAAAAAAATTTTCAAAATTTTTATAGAATATTTTCTGATGAGAAAAAAAAACAAAAAATCTGCCGAATTTTTCAATAGAATTAACAAACAACAAGTAGAATTTTCTATAGAAAATCGAGTAGAATTATCTAGTGAATTCACTAGTTGTTTGAGATTTTTTCGCGCGCAGTAGTATCAAGTATTCATTTATTATGGATTGAAAATAAAAGAATCAAAAATAACGACGATGGTGTTTCATGTCAATCATTTGAGATAGATCTTTTGTGATCAGAGAGACATTGTGAAATTTTTATGAAGACCATTCATAACATTTCTTGAGGACATTTCCTGAAATTGGAATAATAATTTTACCTCTGAGATACTCTGTGGTGTTATCCAGCACCAGATTGAGCAGAGGATCGTATCCCTTGAGAATTCCAGCAGCTTCTCGACCACCGGCAAATTTCACACGAATATTTTTCTCCAGATATTTTGATAAATCCAAAATACTCTCCTTCCTCTTCTTCTCCTTGTGATCACCGTGTGTATTTTGTTGCTGAAAATAATATGATAGCAATTCTCTTCAACCCACTCATACATATGAAAATTTTTAATAGAGAAAACGCTCGCTTTCTCTAACGTTTCAATTTCGATTGGAACTCTTTAAAAATTCTGTTCGATTGCTTTTTTCATTTTCTTTCTACTGAAAACTCAATTGAAAACCATCCAACTTTGTCGTGCGTTTGTCCAGGACCTATTGATTGAAAAAAAATCAATGGATTTTAATTTTCATTTTTCACTATGAATTATTGAGGACTTTCCTACAGCTGTTTTTGGGCGCAGATTCTTCACCATTTCATGTTAGGCAATCCAAGAAGAAAAAATCTCGCAAATTCACGCCCAAGAATTCCTATAGAAAAAGTTCCGACAGAATAAGTTAGTGGAGGGTGGGGTAAAATGGACACTTTAGACTTTTTTTCAATTGTTCATAACTCAGAAACAAATTTATCAATTGAGCTCAGTTTAGGCTCGTCACAAAGGGAAAGAATTGTTCTTTATATTGAAAAAAAAAAATATTAAATTTTATCAACATTTGAACCCCTCATTATCATTAAAAAAAAACTCAAGTGTCCGTTTTACCCCAAGCTCCCCTATTGACTTTTTTCTATCGAATATCCATCAAAAACCGCAGGAAAAATTTTAATAATGTTCAGTAACAATTGGCACAACAACAAATGGAATTTCTCAAAGAGAAATCCGCCAGAATAAAACTTGAAATTGAACTGTGAAAAGTTCCCCTGCGAAAGCGCAAGATTTTTCCGTGTAATTTTGTCATGCGATATATATTTTCATTTTCTAGAAATCCGAATAACATGATTACAATTAGGGGAGGTTGGGGTAAAATGGACACTTGACTTTTTTAAAAATGTTAATGACAGGTTGAAATGGTGATGAAATTTAATAATTTTTTTTTCAGTGCAAAGAACAATTCTTGCACTTTGTGATGGGCCTAAAGTGACCTCCACTGATAAATTTGTTTCTGAGTTATGAGTAATCAAAAAAAAGTCTAGTGTACATTTTACCCTCCCCCCCCCTACTTTATGATTATTCACAAAGCCTTTTACATAGTTACTGAATTCTAAATGGAAAAGTAAACGGTTTGGAATACACGAATAACCTTGGAAGCGGTTCAATATGCATTCTCGCGGGTTTTACATAAATCTTTAGGTGGAAATGACTGAATACATTGTTCTAGTTTCACAATTAATTCCAATAATTGACGGAATGATCATAGAAACAATCTCAATTGTTTACTTACAGCCATAGTTGACGCTTCACGTTTGTTTTCGTCGGATATTGCGATCTCAGAGGAATAGTATAGGTTAGGTGTAAATATGTGTAGTGTAGGTTATGGTAGGTTAAGTTTTTCAACAGGGCAGACTTCTACCATGCGAGTGTGCGTCAAAATTTAATCGCGACCAGTTAAAAATTTAATAATCCGATAAAAATTCGAAAAACATTGACTAATATGACTTGTTCACGTGCAGCAGTCTTGAGTCTCTATCGGAATTTGATTCGAGAGAGCAGAAAATGGAATTCCTACAATTACAGGTACATTAAAAGCTAATATTAACATTTTTTTTGGTTATTTGACGAATGAAGAATTTGTTATGAGTGCAATGGATGTATTTCATAGAAAAGCTGACGCATTCGGTGGAAGATTCTAGTGGAGCTCTATTGAAGTAGTAGGATATCCAAGGACTTTTGCTATTTTTTAAGTTTAAAAAATTTCAATTGTTTAATGTTCGGAACCTAAGTTTCAAGACATTTTACAATGATTTTATTATTTAAATTTTGTCGGTCTGACTTTGAATCTTGATATTGGGCAGTTAGAAAACAATTTTACAAATCTGATGAAAAATTAGAAAGTTAACTTTTGGAGAAAGATTAATGAAATAATTGAAAAATTATAATTTGTGAAAATTACAAGCATTTTCTGTAAATAATTGACAATTAATCAATTTTCTACCATAAAAATCATTCGGAATTGTAACTTAACTAATCGTAAATTCATTCACGTGCATAATTTTACCAGAAATTGATTTCATGTCTAAAAAAATTGGTTTTTCGAAAGTTTAAACAATTTCCATTATTTGTTTATGGGCAAGGAATCTTTAAAAAAATGATAATTTGGTGACAAATGTAATTTGAATGACGTCGAATATTCATGATTTTTTTCAAGTTTTCTTTACGCAATTTCGCTGACAAATTTAATGATTGAAAATGTTTGAATCTATAGTGTGGTCTCTACCAAACTGTAAAAGATACTTGGATATCTTTAAATTTTGAAGATGAAACTCAGCAATAAATTCCAAACGGAAGTTGATACGAATAAAAATATTCTGGTTGAGTTCGTGCTCAGTTGTCAGTCTAGAATCATTAATAATAATAAATTCGGAAATGGCAAAATAACACAGTCATGAGAAAATAAATTTTCCGAGACTGGACAGAAGATCAAAATGTAGAGAAAATAAAAAAAAATAAAAAAAAAACATAAAAATGTTATGCCTAATACGAAAATTATTGTCAGTGTCAAACTTTTATCACAAATAATTTCTTTCTGGCTGAATTTATTCCTGAAATTTTCCATAAAAAAGGTTTCAAGAGAGTCAGCCATATAAAAAAATCATCATTCAAAATGAATAGAGCTTTCACTAGGATTCTAATGAGAATTGAATGAAATTCACCCAGTTAGTACGTATTTTCTCTTGATTTTTCCACACGTGGGGATCGAATGAACGAGGATAAAGTCCGTTAATCCTTCCTCATTAATCTATTTCAGAGAATATGCCCTGAGAAAAGTGAGACACGAGTTTCGTGCAAATCGCAGTCTCGCAGATGCTGAAAAGATAGATGAAATTTACAATAATGGACTTGAATCACTCGCGATGATCAAGAGACAAGTGATTGTTGGGAATCTTTACGCCACAAGGCCATTGGTCATCGAAACGAGGAAAGATAAGGACAAAATTCAGTCCTGTGTATAGTTGATCGTTGACTGTTGATCTGCAATTATTCGATTTATTAATTTTCATCATAACATCAAGAGACTAAAGCCAAGAACTTCATTTTTTTACTTTCGAAGTGGACAATTATCATCTAGTGAGATACCTTTTCTGTTAGATTGTTCTTCATCTACGCCGTTTAATTCACGTGAGTGATGAAGTGAATGTTCATTATTTTTGGATAATAAATATATTAATTCTTGCTGTGTTACAATTTAACATATGAAATTCACTACAAAAATAGAGATCGGAGAGCAAAAGGAACAACCTCTATTGTCCCCACGGTCTTAGACCTTTCTCAGCCTTAGGTCAAACGAAAGGGTTGAGCCAAACGACCCTGAGGTCAAACGATCTCTCCCCAGACAGCTTAACCCTTCTGATTCCTCCGCAAGTCAAGTATCTCGATCCCTAAAGTAAATATACCTATGCTCGTCCTGTCCCCATGCACACTTTAATCATTTTGATAGTCGCAAGAACCTATTAAGAGTGAAATAAGTTTGGAGTTATTATTTTAGTTAATTAGAAAAGTTATCGACACCAATGACAAGTAATTGGCGCCACAACAGAGTGAATTCTTAAGCCACAAGTTACGAAACTCGCAATTTTTAAATGTTGATATCTCCATTATAATAGTAAAATGGGATTAAAAATCGCTTGACTGAGGTTTAGGAGGATTAAAAAAATAATAAAAATGCATAAGTTACAGTAATATCTTAATATTTCACAGAAATGTCGGTATGTTTTCAATCTCCTACTGTTCCTAAGGTATCTTATACGAAGCCTCTAGTGTACTATTAGTTATGAGAATAACCACCCAATGCGAGAGAAAAATATCAACAGGACTTTAATAAAATGTCTTCAGCTTTCCAAAGTTATAATACTAATAGAGCGATAATCAGAAGGACAAAGTGAATGCGTTCGCTTCAACTTTGTTCCGTAACAATAGGTATATTGCGAGTCAAAAAATACAATCTGTGTCTGAAGCTTGAAGATTATCGATTTGACAACATCACTGTGAAATATGAAAACGATGTTCTCAATACCTGGAACATGGAAAATGAACAGGAATCTTAATCGAGTTGATGAAACCCTAGTGATGATCCCTTACATTTCCATAATTTTCCAAATGTAGGGCATAGAATCCGCCAGCTGTCATTCCTAGTGGTTTCATACTTCGCATCAGCATAATGGATATCAATCTCCTACCAGTCGCTGATATGCTGGACCAATTACAGCCGTAACTACGGTACAATTCAATAATGAGGACTCATTAATTGATAGAACATTGACAATGTTTCTGGCACGTACACTTCTTCGGATACTTGACTGCTATGATCGAGTAATTCTTGGCCTGGCAAACTCATGAATAGCAGGTGGACCAGCTGACCAGCAGAAAATGCTCCGAATCTTATCACCTCAGCTACGTCGTCGATTTTTATGATTGACTGAAACAATCCCGTTACACAAAGCATCAATATCTTTCTCCACAAATGCTTCAAAATTATTGGTTATCTTTCAGTTAGCTTCATTGCATATTGTAACCGGACGTGAACAATCATGAGGGATAATTATTAACATCATCATCATCAGAAGCTTTTCCATTGTCATTCACCATTTCCTCATGAAATTCTCTACCAAATTCCTCTCTATCCAAAGATACTACCGATATTTTAGGATTCCTATCAACAGGAAATTCATTAGAGGGAACTACCACGTCATCATCAACATCTTCCCAATTACTGTCATCTCCTAGAAAAATAGATTCTACTACTGTAATATTCAATTCCCAAATTCACTCGTGTCACTACTTCAATCTCCTTTTCTTCCTCTTGCACCGGTGCTGATTTTGCATGTGTTCGTCGATTCTGATAGTTTCGAAAGTTTGATTGACAGTTCCCCCCACCAACGTTCTTCTGAGTTCATTCGTTTGAAGATGGCGTGGAGCCATGTGCATAATTATTTCTCTAATTCTAACGACTGCAAATGGTTTCATTGTGACTGCAAGAAATGAGGACATGCTTGGAAATTACTAGATCTCAGTAATTTTCCTTATTTCAGCGATTTCAGAAATTTCCAACCAAGCAGACATTAACTCAAGTAATTGATAATTATCATACTTCAAGTCCTGTGATGCTGATTAATATCATGCTAACTAAGACGACGAAACCGTACATCATAGTGAAGGAAGATTCAATAAATTCTGCCAATCTGTAAAATGATAAGTCCTAAATATGAGCCAAAGGATACTAGATGTGAAGGTTGACTACAAATTTCAGATCTGAAATATTTACAAAATAGCTCGGTGATGTATGACTACGGCATTCTCAATTATTTGACACTGGCCATCCGAAGAGTCATGCAATTCCATTCCTTTCAACAGAATCCTGAAATTTCGTAATCAAGCTGTCACATAAATTAAAAATAAAATGTCCTGTTTCTGATCGTATCCTGAGATAATTTACCCTACAGTTTTAAACAATCCACAACAATGTTCCACAATTATCAGAACAAATGTGTCGACCGACACTATCATATTCATCACGATCATACTAGTAAAATAGGAGTGTAATAGAGTAGAGTAATATAGCTTATTCGCGTCAATCCCATAGATGGAATAGTCCGCATCTAGCATGAAAATTTTCGGCCTCGATTCATTAAGAGGTGATAGCCTATCCAAAATCACTTGCTTCAATGGAGTAATGGAAAAGAATGAGGCTGAACAAAAAACAGTCACTGAAAAAATGCAATTATTGGAAAAAAAAATGAATAAATTCCGAAGAATCACAATCGAATAGTTGAAGTAAAGAATTTGCATAACAGAGTAACAAGACGCCTCAGTCAGAATAGCCTATACTATCCTCAACTATAAAAAGAATGACCAACTTTTGTGTACAAAATTTTGGGAAGAATAACGTACAGTAGAGGCTTCGTATAAGATACCTTAGGGACAGTAGGAGAGAGGAATTCCGGGAACCCCTATGTCCCCACTACGCGCGCCCATAGAGAGGAGAAAAATAGAGATCAGCGGGTTTCAAATAAGATACCTCGCTCGTTGCGCCCGGATTCAATGACATTTTCATTTTTACTGAATGAATATCGATAACTAATCGATTTATATGTGTTCAATATTTTGAATTTGTATCGCTCGCGTTCCCTTTTCTCTCTAACCATAACCCCGCTTTAGGCAGAAGGGCAGCTGATGTTGGGGGATTCGAGAATAATCACAGACGAAAAATTACGATTTTTCGATGGGAAAAGTGGAAAAAATATCGATGTATCTTTCCATTACTTGAAAAAAGTGGTGCGACCCGCTGTTAAGGTCATTAGAACCTTATGATCACTTCGTTCGTCTCTCCCGTTTGGCCCTCAACACCGTTTGGTCCTTAGAACTACTCTCTTCCCGTTGAAAAATGACCGGGGCCATAGGTATCTTATCTATAAGAAGCCCACGGAACATAAACATTCGGGAGACGATAAAAGTGCCAAGAGTGTAGGTAGGCCTCGAGCGCTCGGAGCGCTAGGTATCTTATACGAAGCCTCTACTGTATTTCTCTTCAATTTCCTGTTAACAATATATTCTTTTTATATTCCGCGGTTGAGGTACTTACACACTATTTTTTTATGGACATTTTTTTCCGTGGTCACACGGTTTAAGTCAATTCCATTCTAGTGCTAGTTCTCGATGAATATCTTAAATTCTAAAGGCGTTAGTAAAATCTTCCTAAAAATCTTTTTTATAAAGCAAAGTGAAGACTATCGAATCCATCCGGAAGCCATCATAATGAATAATAACTCATTGACTCAAAAATTACTAACACCTACGCATATAAAATTTGGTTCCAAAACTTCCTCTTGCCGCATAGGTGTGGGCAGTTGTAATCGCTGGTGAATTCTCGAGAATATGCCAATCTTCTCGAATTTGGTCAAGAGCCCTCCCGACCTGTAACCATCAAATTAATTTAGTTAAATTTCAATTCATTGACAACCTAACTCTCGAAATAAAAATACAAACCCGTTCCATATTCGTTACCACAAAATAATATTTGGCAAATCCTACTGCTATGGCTATTTGTGCTATTATTCCGAATACCATATCATCCAGATTATTACATTTCCTGAACAGAAAGGCATACTGAAAAAGCAATCGCCGTACAGATATCCGCTCTTGATTATGATTCGCGAACTTTTCATCATCCAAAAATTTCAAGAACTGCAACAATATGGCACCTGAGGTATCATTATGGAGATCATCAACACCAACACACTAATCCGTACACAAATTTTCTCCGACATCGACGATTCCGGCCATAATCCAATCAAAGTCATAAGAATTCTATTGTTTCTGTAATATCCATTTGAAAAAATATCCACTTTCTTCATCTGGAAGTGCGAACGTTCCAATGTTATCGTTATTGTTACTGGAGCGTCTTGACTTCTCGGCGGTTCGCAGGCTACAGAAAGAGAATGCCCCGCATAGGCCTCACTTTCTGCATCATATATAATGCAACACGTTACCTCTAATACTTTATTGTTGCTTTCACATCAGAAAATTTCGTGGAAGAGTTTATGAATGCGATCGATAAGGGTTTTTTGAAATATTGTGCGATTGTACTGCCAGACCGGACTAGACTCATCAAGTGTCAGCTTTAATGGAACCCGGAGTTTGGGGCTGGCTACGTCTGGCTTTTTTTTACTTTCTGTACGAAGTAGAGAACACGCGATTCTGTATGTCTATCAACACCGGTCATAATACTGGGATATAGGCGGGTTTGTGATATGAAGAATCGATGCTTGTTGCACTGGAAAATTTCTTTTTTAATAAAAAAAATGGAGATGATTAATTTTCAAACATGTCCATTTTATCGATGAGTGCTGCGGGCCACCAACTTGGTCCATGTGATTGTAAGAAATTTAACGGAACTGTTATGGAATTTTTTCGGAGCGTTCCGTAATCTTTATCTGAATCTCCTGTGAAAAATTATGATACCGTCACTTAAATTTTCGGAGTCGATTCATTTCTCTCCGTGTGCCAAAATTAAACCTCCAACCTGATCATTGCTTTTACGGAGTCGGGAGAGCCTAATCGCACGCTACGCAAGAACCGTGGGAGAAAATTATTCGGCAAAGTGGAAGCGGGAAACGCAGCGTGAGAGCTTTCTTCTAAACATTGTGACAACTCATGTGGACAATACCACGCGTTTCGTGTAGGTTTGGATTGAAAAAAACTTCCAAATGATGCCTCATAATTTTCCCCCTTATTCACTTGAATATTTAACGAGGTGGAAACAAGAAACGCAGCTTGGAAATTTCATTCAAAACATTGTGACAACTGATGTGTAAAAAACGCGTTTCGTGCAGGTTCTCATAGGAGAACATTTCCAGGTGATGCACCCTTCAGCTGAATTGAAAAAGATTATGTTTTCACACTTTTTTCGTGTATCTTGAACTGGAAAAGAGTATTTTTTATCATATGAATATTACTAATTTAACATTCGGTATCAATAGAGGTTGCAACAGGATATTCATGACCTGTGTGTATAAACACACAGGTGTATAAAACTTCAACTGCGTGAAACACACTGGCGTATCAAAATGCAACTACGTGAAACACACATGTATATAAAAATACAACTGCGTGAAACACACAGGCGTGTAAAAATACAACTGCGTGAACCACACAGTAGTATAAAAATACAACTGCGTGAAACACACAGTAGCCTTAAAACCTATTCCATTCGATTCCTGAGGAAATTTGGGTTCCGTATAGGCAGATGGACGGCTCAGAATTGCGTTTTTCCACTTCCTACACCCTATACAAGATGAATTGAATTAATTTTTTTTGGCACTTTCGTTTTTCGCGATTATCTCGGAAACTATGAGAGATAGAGCCTTAAAACCAAATTTGGGTCCCCTATAGGCAAGTGGATGGCTCAGAATTGCGTTTTTCCACTTCCTATACGCTCGACAAGATGAATTGAATTAATTTTTTTTGGCACTTTCGTTTTTCGCTATTATCTCGGAAACTATG